CTGGGTAATGATCAGGCCAGGCGGAGGGCTCGTCCCTTACCGAACGACAGCACTGCTTCGCGGGCCGCGTGTCGGACGTCCTCGTCGGCGCTGCGCCACAGGTCCGCGATCAGGTCCACGCTCTCCGCTGCCTGCGGGGCACCAGACAGGAAAAGATGCTGGAACGGTGTTTTCACCCAGGGAGGTAACTCTGCTACGCTAAAAGCATAGTGACGTATGGCAAAGCCCCAGGAACATTCTTGATAACAGAGAGACTAAAGCTGGAACCATCATTCTGTACCGCTAGGGAGGTACTGCCGTACTTCAAAACTCGTTCGTCTGTTTCCAGAGGACAGGAAGGTAAAACCCCGCGGCGCTGTGCTCGGCGGCGGAGCTCACCTTCAGACACTTGAGAGCCAGGCACGCCGCCTGCTGGCACCGCGGGCTGGGGTCCTTCAGGGCCTCTGTGTAGAACACGACAGCCTGCAGCGGAGCAGAGCACTCGGGGTTCAGTACTACTGTGGACAAACAACACTCACGGGACCCGTGGGGGATTATTTCTTAATGAAATGCTTAAAACGGAGGGGAATAGACAGACCACGACACAACCAGGAATGTCTTGGTGTGTTACGAGCGGAAAGGAGCGCACGGGCCGAACGCAGCCCAACCCCGGAGAGTTGCCGTCTCCTGAAATCCGTCTGCCTCTCCTCCTGCTGGTCTCTGTGCCTCACGCCAACCCCTGCACAGAGCCAGAAGATCTCTCTGGCTTGAGCTTTCGTTCTTTCCCTCCCTGTGTTCCTGCTTCATGACAGAAGTATTCATGGGCGTGCCCACCCTTCGTCAGTACGGTGACATGTCCCCCTCTGTCTCGCTGGAGACCGGGGTTTGATTCTGCACAGGGCAGCTCTGCGTTCTGAAAGGCTGTTCAGATCCAAGGGGAGACTGTTGTTCCCTTGAACGAGGCCCTTCACTTGAATCGTTCCGGGAGCCAGAAGCCCCGAAGGGAGGCGTGAGTGAGGCTGCCTGGTGTCGGACGAGTACCTTTGCTCTGAAGCTCTTGCTTGCAGAGGCCTTGGACAGGCAGGACGTGGCGGCTTTGGCCACCCTGCTGTTGGCGTCGACCTGCAGGGCGGCCAGGAGCTGCAGCGTGCGCCCCAGGGGCTGGAGCTCCGCGATCCGCTTCCCGCGCAGCTTGTCCAGAGCCCGCCTCCTCCCGGGGCTCTCCAGGGCTCCGATCAGGGTCACTGAAACACAGCGCCCAGGGGCATCAGTGTGGCTGTGGGGTCACCCGCTGCACCACCCCACCCAGAACACGCACAGCTGCGACAGCACCCACACCACCAGGGCATTCTTACTGCTGACCTGTCGCTATGAGTATGTTTTTGATCATTATTGCCGATACTGCTACTGTTCTACTTTTTGGCACCAGCAGTGACTCGTGATAATGCATTTTGTTTTATTATTTTCTGCTTGTTCATGTTGGTTTGGCCAGAACCAAGGAAAGCGGGATTAATCGTGTATCTGCTGCCGGTGCGTACCTTCGCTGGCGAGGTGGGAGAGGTGCTCCCCGAAGTCCGTGAGCCCACACCTGCTCAGGTAGCCGAAGAACTGGAACACGGTCACCTGGTCTGGGCAGCGCGGGGGGGCCGGGACCAGCCTGCAGCTGGACAGGACGAGCTGCAGCAGCTGGGCGAACACTGCAGGACAGGCAGCTCGTGAGCGTCTGCTCGGACCCCGACGGGCCTGCCGCGCCGCGGGGAGCAGAGACACGCCCCGCCCGCGGTGCTGCGACCGAGACCCAGCAGCTTCCGTGAGCCAATCGGAAACGGGTTCAGCTCGAGCCATTCTTGTGCACCTCTGATTGAGGGGACAGACTTTGGCAACATTCTCAATATGATGAAGTCTAAAATAGAGGCAGGTGTTGGCATTTTATGTTAACAATCAACCCAACCATACACAAAAATCTTTTAAAAGAAAAAGATACCACAATGGTAGGACCTCCCACGGAGAAAAACACAGAAAACTTTGCACTCATCTCGTGCGCATCTGTGTGAATCTCTGCAGGTCCCCTGAAACAAGGGCACTGGGAGTGTGTAACCCAACCCTGAATATTTCAGTTTTGATGTGCCCCTCTTTGAGCCTCTCAGGGGGAGACCCACCCCTTCGCCCATGAGCCCGGATTTGCTGAGGATGGTACCTGTGTCCACCTGCCCAGGCTGCTTGGCTTTCAGTCTGTGGATGAATCTTTTCCTCAGCGTCTTCAGAAACGTCTCCGCAGGGCAACAGAAGACTGAAGTGTTCTCGCTGCATTCGTCCCAGAAAGCCAGAAGTCCTTTGAGCCTCTGTGACTTGGGAACAACTGCAAGACGCGTGAAACAGGCTGTCAGAGCCGAGGCACAGGCCGAGATGAGGGAGTCATAGTATCCAGCTCCAAGAAGAGCTGAACCAACTTTCAGGATCACCAGTCCCAGTTAAAATCGAGTGAATCAATTACAGACATTCTCAGTCCTAAAGCTGGAGAAGCTCCATGCCTGCTGGGTTTCTGCTCCAGCTGTGTTCTTAATCACAGATTGTTTATTTCAATTTACTTTTTGAGGTTTTTTGAGGAGAGGCAGCATGAAGGCCTGTATGGTGAACCTGTGGAAAATAATGCACTCTAGAGTATTCTGAAACCAAGGACTGAGTGCAATAAAATGTTTAAACCAGCAAGCATATCAGTTAGCACTGGTGAAAATGAGGCTGTAAGTAGATTAAAAAATCAGCCAGCATCGTTGAGTACCCAGATCCTGGACGGATAGCCACTGAGCTGCAATATGCTTCTGCGCCCCTAGAGGGCACTGTCTCAGCATTAAGCAGTTTTTATTGACACCAACAGTGACAGAAGGCACTATTTATATGAAGCACTATTATATGTATATACAATTTTATTTGAATAGTACTTTTCTATTAATTTCCTCTGTATTTCTAAATGGTCATAGTTATTGGAAACTATTTACCTACTCACCTGCTATGGAGGTTTAGATATGACAAGGGATTTTTGGAAAAGCACAACACTGAATGGATACTTAAAATAATTTTATCTTAGATGCAGAGTCATGTGTACTTACTGTCTTTTGCTGAGTATAGCTCTGCATTCTTTCCTAGTGACAGCTTACTGACTTTCTCCAGCACATTGACTTGCAGAGAAAGCTCTTCCAGAATTTCTGCCTGGACCAGGGCTGAGTCCATTTGCTTCATTTGCTGAAATGACATTGAGAGAAATGAAGAGATGATGTGCACCACGACTGGAGGTCAGGGGTTTGCAGATTCATTCCAGTTAAATAGGATGTGAAATAACCAGTGTCACATAGTGTGTTCGCTTGATTGCTTATGTGGATCCTTTGACCTGTTTTATGATTAATAGTAGCATTACATATAATAATGACAGACTAAAGTTTGATTTCTGTGTGTAAAATTGAAGTCCTTTATTTTCTTGCGAAGCGGTTCTATCAGCAGGGGTTGAAAATTGTTCCATTAGGCGCCTCTACCAGCAGAGGCCGCTGTTCCCCCACACTGGGTCACTTTACTTAGACAAAGAAGCGTTTAATTTTCTGAAGTAAAGGCGAAAACTAAATGTTAGGACAAAGCAATCCTAGATTTCAACATGCCACTTTGAGAGTGGGACTGAAAGCACCCACCTTCAGAAGCTCGCTGCAGATCGAGAGGTGAATTTCCAGAGCCTGATCTAAGCCGAAGTTCCCCGTGGTGAAGGGCGTGACCTCTGGTTTGCTGGTGGAAGCGGTATCCTGGTGGAGCAGCCCCAGGCTCCTTAGAGTGCTCTCCCGGAACGTGCTGATCCTGAAAGGCAGGCGTGATCCCTGTAAAAACACAGCCCTGTGCAGGGCTCGGCAGTCTCCTGCCCACAGCTCTGTCCTCCTCTCCAGCAGCAACCAGGGCAGACAAGCTGATTTAACCTCTGCGCTTCTTTTGCTCAACTGATACTAATAAAAAGTAGAAGGCTGCTGGCCTGTCTGTACACACCCTGTGTCCCCCTGCCTCAGGCTGCCCAGACACGACAGCTCGTCCGCGCTGAAGTCTGTGCACAGGAAGTCGAAGCTCCCCAGCACCTCCTCCACGGCCAGGGTCTCAGTGGAGGACGTCTTGTGCAGGTAGAGATCGTTCTGTAAGACGAGAAGTCGGGACACGGCAACACGGTTATCACAGGACCCGTTAGTCACGGCACGTGGTCGCATGAACAGCCTGGGCTGAATGCTGCTCTGCACATGTTATCTGCCTCTCCGGACACACATCTCGAAGGGCGGCTGAGCCAAGTTCGATGCCATTTCAGAAGTGAAAGGAATGTCTCTCGAATGCTGCCTTGACAAGCCAAAGCGTGTCCTGCTCCTCTGGGCAGTGATTACTGCCTGAGTGTGCACGTGGAGCGGTGTGAGAAGGAGCAGGCCGACAGCGCGATCGTCACCTTCAGTATGTCCCCGAGGTGCAGGATCAGGCTCTCCAGCCGCTGCAGCTCCCTCTCTCCGCGGCCCTGGCTTTTCACCGCCGCGTCCAGCTCCAGCAGCAGCTGCCCGATGCGCAGGGCCAGGCGCCTCCGCTGGCGCCGGTCCTCAGCCGGGGTCCGCCGGGGCGCATCCAGCCCGGCTGGGGGGTCCGAATCCAGACTGCCCCCTTTGGCCAGGTCCCTGACAGGAGGCAGGTCTCCATTCTGCTTCAGGATGTCCGGGGTGCCGTACCTGTGCTGGGGCAGGGGGGAGCCCGCGGGGAGGGGCGTGTCTTCCGCCTGCTCTTGGGGGACACCTGGGGCCACAGGAGCTCCGTCCTCAGCGGCCTGGGGCTCGTCTCCCCCGATCACAGGGGACTGGGAGCCCTGCGAGGTGTCCGTCAGGTAGCTCAACAGCGACACCCCTCGAGACTCCTGGGAGCTGAGGGCGAAGGAGTTCTCTGGGTCCTGAAGCCTCCTGGCCACGGACTGGAAGAGAGAGACTCATGAGAGCTTGCGAACATGCAAGACCTTTTTTTTTTTTTGCTAAATGTCACCAGTGTTGCACTAGAAGATTTTTGGCTCTTTTCCGTCTGGTTTTCTTCCCAGCCGAGATCTTGGTAATTTAATTGACCCCTTAATTTGTTCATCCACTCAAGTACAGAATTCATTTTCTGCTTAAATCATTGAAAAGGTCTTGATAAGGCATTATTTTTCGATACATCTGTGAATGAGTTAATTATTAGTTAGTGATTAGTTAGTGCTCTGTTGAACTTAAAGTGTAACCAATTTAGAGACACTGAGATATCTTCAGCAATGAAGATGTGTCTATTTTCTTGCTTATTTTATTCAGGTTAATTATGACTGACGTGGCATTACTGTGACCTTGTGGGTGAGCCAGGATTTCACAAGGTCACACGGCGAAATGCTGCTGCAGCACTCGAGAAACGTCCCTTTTCCGTTCTGCTCCACGCTCTTCCCCTGATCAAACCCTGCGCTGAAGAATGGCTTCCTGAAGCAGACACTCACAATGAAGTACTTCTCCGTGAAGCTGGGGGTGCTGGGTGGAGTCCAGCTGTACAGCGACCCCTTCCGACTGGGAACAGACAACTTGCTGGTGGAGGTGCTCATGGGCCTGGTCTCTCCGCTGTCAAAGGGGCTGGAGGGGCAGAGGCAGGTGTTAGAGTGAACACTCCCAGTGAACAGCAGTCTGATCCTTTCTGTGCTTAACAGGCTGCAGGCACTCGCTTCTAAGGCAACAGCAGGCTGCGCAGGCAGACACCTGGAGTTAGAACACAAGAGCAGCCGCAAGCAGGGGGGGGCCATGTGGTCCAGCCGGGCTGCTGGGTGGTCAGGAGGATCTCGTCCTGCTGGTTCCTGGAAGCAGGCTGGGTATCGGCTTCAAGAGCACGGCTGGGCAGGCTGCCATCTGGGTTAAAGAGGTGCCTCCTGTTCTTTGTCTTAAGTTAAGTGTCATTCAGATAGATGCCCACGTATCACCCTTCTGCTTCATCAACTATAAACAGCGTTGCTTGTTCTTTATTACAGACTACACCACAGTACCACATTCTAAGGCGTCATTCTGAAGCTGGTTTAATTATAATCATCCTGCTTTTAGGTGTTTGATTTGATTCTGAAGTTGTTTAGCTGTCAGCTTGGCTTTGGGGATGTTTTGTTTCTCAGGCAGCTGCAGGGAAAGTCATGCGTGCAGAGAACAAAACTAGCCCACCGCCCTGGACCCATGTCACCTGGTTCCTCATGGAGGTTTTCCTTGTGCTTTGTTTGCCTGGTGCTGATTGGGACACTGTAATCGATTTTCCATTTAATTAAAGCAGAGGGTCGGGAGTGTTTGCTGCATGATGACAGCCAGGGAGATTTAATCTGGATGAGTCTTGACTGCAAGTGAGTCAGAGGGCACTGGAATGGCAGCTGCTGTATACTGGAGTACCAGCGCTGCTTGTAGAGTAGCAGAGTGGACCCTGCACCCTTGTAACTGAGGTCATGCTCTTTTTAGCTAACTTTGCTCATAAAACTGAAACTCAGAAAGCACCCTCCACCTGGGGTCTGTAAACTCCTCACCAGCAACTTTTATTGAGCGCAGGCCAGATGCCCTCCTTGGGTTTTCAGAGCAGAGCTGTAACACCACACTGGCCGAGACACACCCACCAGAAAACACACAGGTCCCTCCAACACGAGAATGAATGGACAAAGGGCTTCCTTCCCTCCTGCTCTCTCTTTCTGCATTGTCAGTGGTTGAAATGATGTCAACTGTTCAGTTTCTGTGTCTGATCTTTATTGTTTTTAACCAAAGTCTACCAGTGTTTTCCTGTAGTTCCCTGAGCATGATATGGTTTGTTGGTTAGTTGTAACCTAACCTGGACCTTAAACCTCACGCTAAGCATTGCTATAATGTCAAACCAAACTAAACCCCAGTCTAACTTTAAACCCGAACCCAATTGCTAACCTGAAACTTGCAGGAGCAGAACAAGTTGCATCTGGGCAGGTTTTAGGTTAGCAGAATGGCACTCTGTGATTCAGTCAGGGTGAAGATGTGATACTCACTCCCACATCACCTCCATCTGCAGTTTGATCGTGCCCAGCTCCGTGATGTCCACCACCATGATGTGTGGCCTGGCCTGGAAGAAGTCCAAGCTCTCACAAGTCACGACCCCCACCAGCACTGAGCCCAGCCCTTTCACCTCAGTTACCTGGGAAACAGAGGTCAGAGGTCATCCGACAGCACAGGTGGGCCTGCAGCAAGCCATGCCTGATACACAGAGGGTGCAGTCACTGGCTTCACTCTCAGGCAGCAATGGCAGTATCTCCAAGTTTGAAAAAGTCAGGTTGTTGCAATCTGTCTGAGTCTATCAGTGTTGGTCAACGGAGGTTTACAAGGCTGTGAAGTGTAGGAGTTTAGACAAAGGTCTAAGCTCTAGTACATGATGGATTGACTCTGCATTCAATCACTCACCTTTATCTCAAAGTTCTCCTGTATGTGAGGGAGGAACACCATCTCTTCCTCATCCCAGGACTGTCTGTCATCTGCCTCAATCTTCCCCTTCAGCTTCCACCTCTGCCTGCCCAGCCTGATCAGCACCTGGAGTTCAGGGCAGACAGGTTGTCTGATCAAGCCCTTTGCTTTAGACTACGGGTGTCGCACTCCCCAAGGGCCTAGAGGCATCTGGTCAGTGGTTCAAGTATCTATAAAGCACCGTAATTTATCTACAATACATGTTCAAGCCTGCCTGTATTAACAATTGAACTGTCAATTAAATAATTAGACTGACTACATAACTGAAAACATAAAGTCCTTCCTTAGGCTAATCTGCGTGTGTCCTCTTCAGTCTTGTGTGAGGGAGTTGAGCCATTCAGTCCCAGAAACAGCACAACGAGGGAAAGACCCACCTCGTACTGATCCCCTGGGCAAAGACGCGCAAACCCAATCAGCCCTGCAAATGGGACAGAGACGCAGAACAACAATGTGAAATTAATACATCTCATCTTCTTTAAATCAATCAAAGTGCAATAGAATATCAAAACGCCAAAAATGCCATAAGAGTTATTTCAGTAGTGGACTCTGATGGCAGTAAAGAGCCCTGACTTTGCCAACAGACCCTTAAATCAAATGTCTGCTCGGAAACCAGACATTCTGCAGACAGAAAGAGCCATGTTCCTCGCTGGCTCGACTCCGAGTACCTTTCATCTTTATGTGAAGCTCTCCTAAGAGAAGCTCAAGTTCTCCTTCCATCATGAACATGTCCTGAAAGAAAGGAAAGACCATCAACGAGATCATGCAAGGGCTGATTCAATAAACAACCCGCCCCCTCTGCTGATCATAAACCAAACTCCGAGCAGACAGGCCACCAGTGCCCACCCGCCAGTCTGGAGGAGCCCCCGTGTCCCGCTTTTCCATTGCACTTCCTGCCCCGACCGGAACCCCCGGAGCCCCGGAAGGACGAGCTCTTCCCGGGACCTGAGCTGTGTTAAGGCTCGTGCTTCAGCCGGCGGATGGCGCCCCCTACCTCCAGACACTGGCGCTGGCTCCTGCCCAGCTGCAGCAGGCTCTCGCGGGACGCCCTGGTGGAGGGCGACAGGGCGAAGGCTCTCTTCATGTTGGCGGCGCCGGTGCACAGCCGCCACTGGATGGCGTAGGCCTCGTGCAGCTCCTCCACCTGCGGCACAGAGCGCGGGGACACACTTTACTCCGCCGGTACCGGGGCGTACTGCGGCAAACTACAGGGTACATCCTTCACAGAACTGTCTGCAACCAGCACTGCAGGCTCAGTCGGACTCTCAAACTGCTCACTTGAAAAGTCAAGTTAAAGGTGAGGTAACCCCCAAGACAAACCGACGGCCGCTCGGATGCTGCAAGACTCGCTTGCTCACGTGAGAGCGTTTGTATAGGAGTGTCAATGTGAGGAAACGTCCCCTCGTAGTGACTCCAGATAGACCCTGGGATCATCACCCACAATGTCAACAACAGACATTTCTTACAAACCCACTGGTGTATTGAAGACCTGAGCCAGGATCCATGGGACGTGCACACAAATACAGGAATACAAACGGGACTGTCATGAATACTCTAGAAAACTTGTCACATTCTGAAATACATTCAGTATCTTAGAGGAAGCTCTGTGCTGAGCAGCAGCTTGTCGAGATTTACGTACTACGTGCAAAGCCTTTGGGGGAAACGTGCTTTCAGCTACCTTGCTGATGTGGAACTCCAGCCGTCGAATGTACCTCTCCAGCGCTCTGATTTCCTTCATCAAGAAACAAAAGAGGGCGTCTTACAAAGTGAGCAACCACTGCTGACATTTCCGAAGGACTGCCGTGGCCATGTGGCACAGCATTCCAAAGATCTCCAGAGCAGGTCACAAGTCCAAGGGATGACAATTTAGATCCACACGTCCACATTCATAACAATGCCACATTTGTGGTAATGACATTTATTACTTGAAGTGCTTGAATTGATTTATAATTGCATCACACGGAGAAAAGCCATCTAATTTATTTTTAATTAACTTCTCTCCACAATCTGATTTCCATCTTTCAATGAAGCAAGAGTGCCTGTATCAAGGATTAGCTTATTGTAACTGTGTTAAATATAATTCAGGTTAATAAGATTCATTATAAAATCAATAAATGAATTCAATTGGTATTTAACTCCATCTAAATGAAATGGCATTATATATTTTGCTTACTAAATTCAGTTGTGAACACAATTAGAATACTAAATTATTTTATTAAAGAAAAGAGACAAAGGCGGTGAATGTCATACCTTACCTTTTCTAGGTCATACAGGAACGCCTGTAATTACAAAAACAAGATGATTACAGATTGTCACACCAATCCATTCAGGCAGCCATTGTAAAATATCTCATGACTACACATGAGGATAACGAACTTATAAGGGCAGAAAATCTTATTACATTAAGTACACCATTTGACTGCCTAACCTGAAACATACAGTTCTGTGAATAAGGCATGTAGCTGAGGCCTGAAGAGAAGCCTGTGCGATTCTCCAAGTGCTGGCCAGCAGGTCCTTGGGAGCTCCTCACACTGGTAACCTCAAAAACCCCCAAGACATGTCAGCCCCCAGACCCCCACCTCAAGACTTAAGATCATGGCCAGACCTAGTGAGGTGCTTGTCTCGACTGCGGCTCCTGTGCATGTTTACCAGTCTGGAGATCCTTTTGCTGTCCCGCTGCTGAGCAGTCAGGAAGTCCAGCTCTGCCTGGTGCCCCTCCAGGTACTCCCTGCAAAGCAGACAGCAGCACCCCGTTAGCCACAGCAGCAGGAACACACTTGGTATACTGGCCGCAGGATTGGGGCCCCTGCCTCTGGCCTGTCATGCCCAGAGGCTGTGTCACATAATTGTTCCCACTTCCAGCCCACTTTTCTAGGATCGCCTTCTGCTGAGAGGATGGGGAGATCTGGAGATCGGCCTGATCAGGCAGGGATCGGTGATGGATGTCACTGTGCAATGCCTTCTGCTGACAGACTCTATTCGCTTGGCTTGGGCACGACAGCGTGACTCATAGCATTGAGCAGCAAACCCTTCCTCCCTAGCTCTCCAAAGAGGAAACTGTCTGTATTCACTTCCCAATGTTGTGCATCCTCCTTCTGGTGCCTGTTTCACGTCAGTGCTGAGATTGGCTTGTGAGGTGCAGCAGCAGCCTTGGTCTCATTAGACAAGGTGAGAAGAGCTGCTCTGCAGCCCCCTGGGTCTCACGGCAGGACGCCTCCCCCGGATCTGTGCTGAGCTGTTGAGGAGCAGCTGTTCAAGGTTCTCCTGCGCCATTGTGCTGTCAGGACGTCCACGAGTCTTTGATTAGCAGCACAGTCAACACAGTGTAACGGGTGTGTGGAGATGCTGGATAGTAAGAGTCTCGTACATCAGCCTGGGATAAAGACTGACGTTAACATCAACGCCTGGTTACACTGGCTAACTGTGGCATGCAATCATGGAGCTACAGAACCCTTCCCTTTTCTTGTCATTTTACACATCCCAGCCGACCTTTTCCTTTCTCCATCGATTTTTGAGCTCCGGGTCATTGCCTAGGTGACAGCGTTGTGGACTGTGTGTCTCTGCAGGCTGCAGGACTGCAGTGCCTGACGAGTCCTCTGCCTCACCGCAGTGCGTGAAGACTTAGTGAGTATGAGACATCAGCTGTCAGGGAGGCTACAGCAGATGGAGAAATCGCAGTGTGATCACAGTACTAGCAGGGTGAAGCACCTCAGAGGACATTTCTAAAGCTTTTAAACTGCAGGATTTTTATATGCAGTGTCTTGAATTACTTCCTGAATTTCAATTGCTGATTCATCAGAATTGCAAAAAATGAAAAGGCTACCCAGAATGAAATGGTATTCTGTTTCACTTTCAAGAAATAGTGCACGTTCTTGGAGCACTTCCTAGGAGAGTGTTTCACACTTTCTCAAACGAGCAGTCAGAAGTCTTCCATCTGTTTGCTGGCTGGAGCTGTCGTGAACTCAGAAACCTCGGACTGTTTTCATGTACAGTATCTCATCTCATCTTCTGCTAGGGATAAGAATTTGACTGTATATTTTTCTAGCTGCTTGAATTTATACAGGATCATTAGCTTCCAGCACAAAGAGCTCTCCAGGATTCCTTTCATGTTAAACTTTAGTATCATGTTCTCCAAGCGACGAGTGGGATAGTGTGACGCAGTGTGTACAAACTGTTAAACACTCTTTGATATCTGTTTAAACTCGCTGCTCCAAGCCATTCCTTTCTGTCCACATCCGTCTCAGATTCCCAACAATAATAATCTCCCCCCAGGTCAGCTGATGGCTGGCCACTGACACTCTAAATAATCCTCCCAGGATAGAAGCAACAAACATGTCTAACCTGTGCCAGAACTGTGGCATCTTCCCACTGTTCCCGCCTGTGTGGGTACCCAGATGAGCAGATATCCGTGGAATCCGTCTGGGAGTCTGGGGGCAGGGTGAGGGGGCTGGTGCAGTATGACTGGGGGGGGTTGGGGCAGATGTCTCATGGCACTGCTCCCCAGACACAACTCAGGAAGAAGAAACGTCATGAAGCGATCAGGCCGCCTACACTGCCACAGAGTGACTCATTAGTCTTCTCAGAGTCCTGGTGCATGGCCTCAGGAACGTTTACTGTTTCCTTTCCCACATGCCTTTCAGCACACCGCTGGGCTCTTCCACACTTTTACCATGGTGTGCCATGGACCACTCCTGCTCTTGAGGTAGTGTACTGCACCAGTCCCCATGACCCCTGGCTGCTGTGCTCGTGTCCCGCCCTGGGTCAGGACCTGCTTGTGTTCACACTGCAGAGCTCTGGGGCTGCTCGGTTCGCCCCCGGCTGTTCTCGACATGACTGCAGGGCAGGCGGTGCTTACTCACTTCAGCCCCCTCCGCAGTGTCTGGAAGACCCTCTCCACCTGCTCTGGCTGAGACGCCACCGGGCTCCTGGAAGAGTGGGGCATTCTGGGAGACTTCCCTGAGAAGCCTCTGGACCTCACTGAGCTCCGCACAGAGGACACCCTGCAGAGAGACAGGAGACACCAAAGAACGCCCACTCTTCAGAAGAACTAGATGGGGCGAATGGCCTCCTCTCATTTGTCTCATTTGTAACAACTTCTAATGTTTCTAATGTTCAAACCTACACAGGCCATGGACCCTGAGGAACAGGAGCAATTACTCTTCTGCTCAGGAACTCGGGGTTCTTTGCTTGTGCATCCTGGCATGATTTCGAGGAGCTGTTCTCCTCCACACGGTGCTCATCTGAGTCTTAGCAGCTCCTAAGTGTCACTGTGTGGGTACAACCACCACATGATTATCCTGTTTGTAGTAGAAATGATTCAGCCTTGAAATACCTATAATCTAAGTGCAGGGATTTGAGCACTGCTTAAAATACTGAGACAATGCCTGTGTTCCAGACTTCTCATTGCCATTAATAGCCTGTTGGATTTCTGACGATGGCATTTTGCATCCACTTCCACTGTCTTTAGGGTATTACAGCCTGTCATCTGAATTTTTGTTTGTGTGAGCGGTACGTATTTTCTACTACAGCCTCCATGTCAGTGGGGCTTGAGAACTGCAATTAGGCCATCCTTCATAGCTATTAAGGTGGAAGCTGTAAAGTGCAAGCTTGCTCTTCTGCACAGAGGGGACAATGAAGCTGAACGCTCACAATGGGATTCATTCCTCTAATGTCAGTGCTTTGTATTTACAGTCAGTGCAGCAGAAGTGAAGGGATTACTGGTTTCTTGTCTATCCCAGTTGTCATCCACACACTGTCTGCTGAAGCAAACTGAGGCATTTACTCGGGACTGGTTAAAATGTTCTAACCCCAGAGTCCTGGCTAAATTCCACTCTGGGTCTGGCGCACAATCTGACCTCCCGGAAATCCCCCTTATTGAACTGGTGAAGTAGTTTCAGAGGGGTTTGGGATCTTTTGAGATGAATAGCTCTCTATAAATGTCATTTATGCATTAATCTTAGTATTATGTGTTTCGCAACAGAGAAGAAAGAGGCTATGGGTGAACTTCCCACAGGGCATCAGTTAAGGAGGGCGGATCTCTTATTCGATAAGCTGGCATAAAGCAGCTTCGTGTGGCACCTCGTACTGACTGGCTGTGGCTTCGAACAGGCTGCACAGCCCGCTGCTCTCTGCCTGCCTGGCTCCAGCCCCCCGGCTGTGTGTCTGAGACAGCTGCTGTCTCTCTCGTCGCCACACCAGTCCACAGACAGGGGAAGAGCAGGCCGCCGTCTCCGGTGTGGCCAGTGCTGGCCAGCCAGGGGGCGCCACCCCTCCTTCCCTCACGCAGCCGCCTGACTGGTGCCCCCTCCTGGGTCAAACCAGCTGAAGGCGCTTCCACAACCCGCAGGACTGCTCTGCTGCTGGCGGGGGTCCGGTGGGCGGCCTCACCGTGCGTGGCGGCTGAGAGGGGTCCCGAATCCCGCGAAGGAGCGGCTCCTCCTGACACCTCCGCCCTCAGCCGGGCTCTCGAACCGCAGCTTCACCGACATCCCGCTGCTGCCCGGGGGGACCCTGCAGCAGACAGAGCGTCTGTGAGGACACACAGGCGGCCATCTTTCACAGCCGGGATGGACAGAAGCCCTGCTGGGGCTCGGCTCGACGGTGCTTCTGCCCCTGTGGCAGGGTATCCCGCAGAAAGCACCCCAAAGCGAAGCCGCAGGTGTGCTGCAGAAGCACAGCGCAGCCCAGGGCTGCCCGCAGGGCCGGCACCTCTGCTCCTGGCACAAGGGCACGGGGGCATCAGGTGGGAGCTGGTTCTCAGCAAGCGTTTCGCAGTACAGCAAACTGAGTCTTGTTGTTCAGATCAGCTTCGGAGGTTAAAAAAATAAAACCGGGCAAAGCTGGCTGAGATGCTTACAGCGGTGGGGTGAAAGTGCTTTAAGGAGCGTGTCACCGAGGCAGGCAGGTGGACACGCTGGAGACTGGGTCCCTGATTCTTCAGAAACAGCCTTTTGGTTAATGTAGCAGCGTTTGACCTGGGGGGTGATTTCTAAAAGCGAGGAGAGGATTTCTGTATTATTCCCAAAATGCATTTCATTTCAACAGGATGGCAACATTTTTCTACCTAAACAAACCAGTGGAGACATTATCTGTCTCGTTTCTGTGTGAAAACTGGGCTTCTCTGTGCACAAGATCTGGACTTCAGGCGGTTTTGAAATATAATCAAACTCTTGCTAACAGGGCTTCTGCTGGAGCTGCACACTGTGTGTCTGTGGGAGAGGCACCGGGGGGACAGGGGTAGCCCAGCCCAGGATGGGGAAATGTCTAATTACAAACCCAGAAAGAGATGTTTCTCTCCAGGCCGTAACTCATGTCACTGCGGCTCGTGGGGGACTGGCCGCCCGGAGAAATTCAGTCATCTTGGTTTCTAGCCGGAACAACGAGGAGACGCTGTGCGGTCTGTCTATGGCAGGGCTGTAATTTAGACTAAAAACCAAACAAAAGAGATTCTGAAGTTTTTGTCTCTTTTGCACGCTTGATTTTGAAAGCATCCTACTGAATAAAAAAGGTCACTTAATAGAGTAGAAGAGTTCCTGACGTTAACACCCCTGTGGTTCTACCAGAAGGCTCCCCTCTTCTTCTCTTTTAGTGAAGATGTTTTCCAGCAGAATCTGGCTGCAGGTCTCCCCTCTTCCCTGAATCACACCTGTGCAGGAAGTGGGGTGCTATTGGGGTGCTCTCCAGTGCGCTGAGTGAACAGGGAATCCTGGGAAAGCGCAGAGGCACACTGGGGTGTTGCAGTCAAACTGAATGCTCACTCCAAGCATGCCAACAGCAAGAGAAATACTGCACCACGTTACCATGGTAAACACAGCCGGAGTGTGACTGTTCACAGTCATTTACCCACATTGTAAAAACACTTGTAAGAAAGTGACCTGTAATGTTTTATTTTAAGAGATTAGTGCAGGCAGCTGCACGGGATCGAGTAGAAGATAATCTCACGCTGGAAGTGGAAAACCAAACCTTCACACCCGAAGAAGGATCAACAGCCGAAACTTTGTTCTTTTTTGTCCCACTTCTGAGTGTGGGATTAACCTCTACGTGCTCTTGGATTTAATTTTACTCCTCGCTAGTCCCTGTGATATTCTGCAGGTTTCTGTGTGTGTGTTGTGAAATTCATTATTATTTTTGCTTCTCTTCGCTGACGGATCTGTGTTTTTGGTCTGGACTTGGCAGCGGCTGGTGAAATAAATCTCGGCAGGCGTTAATGGAGAGGCGGTTTCCTCTGGCAGCTCCCGGCTGACCTCTTGATGAAGGGGCTGTCCGGGACAGACCTGGGGCCAGGGTTTCGATCAGCTGGCTCCTGCTGTAAATATTTACCCCTCCCAGTTAAACAGCACTGAGGAGGAGAGCCGTTACCCTGCCTGGAGAGCCCAGGTCCTGCGCAAATTACACAAATGTGCAGCAGCCAGGAGTAATAAAACTGAAATTTATTGGGGAGTAGTGTTAGTGGGATTTTAATTTAGCATAATGGCTTTTTGCAGATGTAGAAATGTGATTCTGCCTGTTCCACAAGGCCCTCAATGTTTGTGAATTACAGACACAGACATCTCCAAGCACAGCCCATGAAGGCAGAAACCTTTGCTTTGCTAGGGCCAGATGTCTCCTGCATTTCCTTTCCTCGTTTTCTCATCTCTTTCCATCTGATTCTTTTAACTGACCCCCTTCCCTTCTATTTCCAAAGTAATTATTTAAGAAACTGTAAAAGGGACAAGTATTTTTTTTTCAATTACTTGTCATTCAAATGAATTAACTTGTTGCTCTAAAATTACAGAATTACAGCTGTGACAAGAGAAGGTTGTGAGATCTGGGGCTCCCGGTCAGCTAAGTCTGCTAACAATGGATATTTGGAAAATACTCCTCATGCTACACAAATCCCCAGTTTGGGTTTTAATTGGAATGAGATGATAAAGGGAATCATTAACATGTTACATATTGCTTGCACTGCCAGTGAAATATAAACAAGTTGCACTTTTCAGTGAACGTATAGTAAGACATTTTCTGCGCTTACAGTGTCTGTATGTGGCTGTACAGCATGTGGCAGGGCAGAGTTAAACAATTATTCTTTAGTTTTGTTAACATCTCTGAAGCCTTGACACTTTATTAACTTTTATTCAGAGACTATAACATAATTGGTCTCCACCATTGTGCTTCAGACTGCACCCCCTGCCAGTGCAAATATTAGCTCAGGGACCTCATCCAGTTAGTAAAACTGCTTTCAAACCATTGTCTGGCTCAGGAGAGAAGGAAAAATTGGAGGAATTACAACCTCTTCCAAGCTTGGCGATCTGTTTGTTATTTTTAATGATTTGAACAAGAAAAATCACCCTTATCATCATATTATACACATTTCCTTCTCGGCTTGGTTAAGCGAGGCTCGTAACAGGCAGTGTGAGTGATCAAACTCCAGCAGCACAAAATGAGCAAGGCTTCAGGACAGGCTGGGACCTGGCACTGGGGAGAAGACCCCTGCAGGCCCCTCCTCACTGAAGGGAGCAGCCCTGATTCAGAGATAACATCTGTGTGACACAGCACCCAGAGACACAGCTGGATCTGATAGCCAGGCTGCCGTCACACAGAGTCGTGCCCAAGACTGATATCAGCACCCAGGGCGTGAAGCTGTGTGGGGGGTGGGGGCGCTGGTAACTCCGTTTGGGCTGCTCGGAAGGGGATGGTCACCTGAACGAGGCAAAGGCTCTGCAGTCCAGACCAGAGGAGATGGGCTACGACCCCACCAGCTCAAGAAGAGCCCGAGAGGACAAACAGGCTTAATGAAATAAGAGCTGTGAAGGCTGGAACACAGAGCACACAGGCCACTCCCCCACGCCTCTCTCTGTGTCAGGATCGCTATCTTCCTCGCTTATTTTCCTTCCCTGCCCCTTTTTTTTTCCAAAGGATGGAGCCGCATGTTTTTAATTTAGAACAGATTCTGAAAATAGCTGACATTTTTGCTGTCGTGCAGGAAGCGTTAGCGCAGGGTCTCCGGGGGCTGTGCTGCGATAACAATCGCCCAGGGCAGAGTGTCAGGGCTCACCCGCCGTGCTGCTGCTCTGTGCGCCATCAGGCCCTGGGGTCTCGGGGACGAGTGACCCCCAGCAACCGCAGGCCCGCCTTGTCAGCTGCGTGGGCCGACACTTTACAGCTTCTCTGGGTAAATGATACTTTAAGCAAGCTCGAAAATATTGATTGGTATTTTCTGCAAACGCAGGCGTTAATAGTCTGATTCTGTATGCAAAGTATTTAGAGCACATCAGCTTTGCACTTGTCAAGCGAGACAAAACTGACATCACATTGTGTTATAGCGTACATTCTGATTGACACGAGCTTCATGATGCAAAATTTAATCAGAGCCAATTTCTTCCGTGTGCTGTAATTAGTATCATGGAGGAGGCCCTGAAGAGATCGAGAAAAGCCTCTGTCCTGAACATGTGACACACGATCTCTCTTTCTCAGCACATCATAGCCCAACCCTGCAGCCTAGAACAGGCCCATCTATGTAGCTCTTCTTCTGCAGCTTGGGGTCTAGGGTCATGGGGTGAACGTCCTAGAATAGGAGCTTTTCGCTATGAATGCAGGCTTAGTAAATATGAACGGAAGAACAGATGAACTTAAACTCTGAACGCAAACTTGGTCAGATTGCTGAGTTAAACAGAACAGGGCCCTCATCAGGAGGCAGGTGCAGTCCAGAGTTTGCAGAGTGGGGGGTCTCCCAGGTTCCTGTTCTGCTCAAGGTCCACATCAGCCTCACAGTTTACCCCAGTGGGCTCCGGGGCAGCCCTGCGTACCGAGGGTCCTGAATCCTGCTCCTTCCTAATCAGTGTCGGGTGTGCAGGAGGTTCGCTTTGATTCGAGCCCCTCAAACAACCCGGAGTGCTGCAGAGTCCCAGGCTGCCCCCTGTCACCTCTGACCCAGGCTGTGCTTGAGCCAGGAGACAGCAGGGTGTCCGAGTGTGAGCGGCGCTCCCGGCCCTGTGCAACAAGCACAGGCAAAGGCCTGGGTGTGAAATTAGCATTTTGCGCTTACAAATTCTTTGATTCTGTTTTTCTTCATGCAAACATATAAACGCCAAAGCCAAATTGGTGCGTGTCTACAGTGCCTCACGCTCCCTGTCGAGTCCGTCATCAGTGGAGGAGCAGTCCTCTCGGCGCAGTGACTGTGCTTGAGGAGAACACACAGCGCTTTTCCACATCAGCCCATACCTGCTTTCTAATAACGTCCTTTACTCTCGCTTTCAGGCCACGACGTACAGCATAATTAACGGCGCTTTTCCCTTCTCCTCCTGCAGTGTCTGGTGTTGTTTCAGATCTCTTTCCAGTGAAATCGGAGGGTCCTCAGGGAGGGTTAGTCACGAATTAACTTCGACACTAAAGTTGTCCCGGGGGACAACTGAAGCCCCTTGGACTGGTGCCCGGAGTGACGCTGGACAGAAACTATTGCACTCTTGTCCTCCACTGACTGCCGAAACGCGGTGAATATCTCGGGCGGCGCTTAAAGTGAAGATCGAAAACATAATCATATCAGTAGAAATCATAAAGCCAGGTGAGTCCTCCACATTCCCAACGCTCCCTGCGCTCTGAGCCGGTGCGCACCGCTGTGCCTCCCGCGTCCCTGGCAGCCGCTGCCGCTGTGTTTCGGGTCGGGATTCCAACACGTTAGTGAAAGAAAAACTCACCGCAGGTTCCGGCTGTCTTTCTGCTTTCAGCCTTTAAAAGAGATCAGCGGAGCTGGCAGGGCACAGACAGAGCAGTGTGTGGAACCTGCCAGAGGACAGACAGCAGGGGTGTCCGGAGCATTCCTCCCTGGAAAAGTGGAAAAGTGGAAAAGTGCTCAGGAGAAGGGGCCTGAGAGAGAGGAATGTGGAAGAGAGCAGTGCCTGTCTTCAGCATCACTGCCATTGGTCCGTGCAGTAATCCAGTGTAAAGTCTATAATCAGACTCTTCCTTATCTCATTGATTCTCAGCGTAGTTTACTCATTTGTAATCTTACTGGAACCCCTAAGGTCTTGACATAGGTTTGGCCAGGCTGAGGAACCTATTGTCAGAATGAAAATGTATTTATTGAAGTAACATCAGGAATTGCACGGGCTCTCTGTGCAAAATCAGTTCCTTATGTGTGCCTGATTCCAGGCTGCGAAGGGGTGGGTGTGTGTGACTGGGGGGGCTCTCCAGGGTGTGATGTACAGACCATGGTGAGGATGACTGACTGCGCTTCCAGAGCTGTACCGGGGCCCCCTCGAGGGGCTGTAAATCAGCGTGAGGTCAGAGGTCACTTCTGAGCCCCCAAACACACACAGACAGCCCACCTGCACCAGACAGTCTCCCCCACCTCACTCAGCTCACTCTGTCTGCCTCTCGTCTGACATGATTAACGGCACATCACGGGATAGCTCTCCCCGAAAGGGAAACAATAGTTATCTGAGGCCTTTCAAACTTAGGAATTGCATATGAATATTATTTTCCCTTTATTTCTGAGAATGTTATGCTGCAATGTGCTGTGTGTTTCTGTTCAGTTGGCTATATTTTATTGAGAATTAAGGTATCACCTTCAGGTATCAGCTGTAGCCTCAGTGATGAACTCTCTACAGCCTGAAAGTACATGATTAGCCCTGTGAAGCACAGTGGATGGTATTCAAGATAACACCCACTCCTGCCTTTTTGAGCTGCCATGTGTCTCGTAATGTGCTGATATGTTAGCTCCCACACAGGGGCGCTGCAGAGTCCTGTGTCCAGGGAGGATCAGGTGCAGCCCAGGAAGTGACGAATGAAGTCTCTGGTCTGTCAGGGGCACCAAGAGTCACTCCAGCCAAGCTTGATCTGCACAGTTAGCAGTGCTGCACTGCGTTCAGACACAGACCCTCAGCCTTTCCCCACCTGTGAATAGTGCTGTGTTTGAAGGCAGAAGGTCAATGCTTGGCTCATGTTTGAATACACTGGTGTAAAAGGAGGTCTTGCAAACACATCAGACAGTTAATGGTCTTTAGAAAGCTTGGCTGGTCGCTGTAAGCATGCACTGTGCTTGTAGAAATCCCGGCAAACTCCCCCAAAACGCTGCTACATGTAGGTTTCTGCTGATGCAGAATATTTTTAATGTGTTCATCTTCCGGAACAAATGTAAAAGATTTGTCTCTGAAATAAATCAATATTTTTCATCAGGAGTAACCCAATGGTGAGCTCAGGAGCTGCGATCAGCGATCTCCACCGAAGACATCCTGTGTCCAGTACCTCTGAGCTCACACCGCTCGTCAGGTCTGCACACTTTAATACCCTTCTAGAAAGGAAATGCAGGCTGTGAGGTAAAAATAGGGGCAGGTCACACCTCGCTATGTGTAAAGTGAGAGGCCCCAGGGCAGTGCAGACTGAAGCAGAGTTCCTTACGTGTTTCAATGTAGCCCACACAGTGCAGAGCACCCTCCACTCCCACAGCCTGCAGACCTGTCTGCACTCTCAGGCTACACTGTGTGAGGTTGAGCCCAGTTCCAACAGACATACTCCACACACACCCTCAGCCTACAAAGTGCGCAGGGTAGGAGGGCTGTCATGGGAAATCTGGGATACAACATCGCATTATTGGGAGACTTGGTTTGGAACCTACCAGGGTGGTCGGACAAGGGCCCTAAATAAGGTTAGTTTGTTTCTCGTTATTTTCCTTAACAGCAAAAGGGACAATCCTTAACATTATCACCTGTGGGAACTACCAGAGATAAAGATGCTTCTCCGTGCTTTAGGATACGAGGGCTCTAAAGATCTGTCTCTTAAAAACAGAGGTGATTTTTGGGGTAAAGGTATTTTGTGGCAGGTAGGATTTAGGAGAGAAGAGCTCAGTGAGGTTCCTTCAGGTGGGGCAGGCGAACAGCCTAACCCCCTTCTGTGACCGCCATCACAGCTTGGAGGACTGTGGGAGTCCAGTCTCAGTCCTGCCCTGCTTCTAATGAGAGTCCTCACCGCAGGTCCCCACATTACAAGAGCAGCGTCTTGGAAGAAAACAACTTTCATGTCACAGTAGTGGTAAATACGTCAAGCAGTGGAGTCTTTTCTTCAGAGGTGAAAAGTGAAATATCGCAAGGAAAAACACCGCTGGAACTTGGCAGCATAACATGGCTTTGTATAACAAAGGATTTACAAAAATTCCTCGAGTGACACAGATGGCTAAAAGGGGGCCAACACTGCCAGCCCTGTGCTCTGCTGCAGTTGTTTCCTATTTTTTGAGGCTGCATTTCACGCACATTTGTTTTTCATATTGGACGTCGCCATGGCCCGGCCCAAGCAGAACACATGTGCTCCACAGCCACTTGAAAGGCCTGAACCGGGCCAGCAGACACACAGCCCGAAAGGCAGGGCGGGGGAGGTTTCACTAAATCAGTCCCAGGACCATGGTGCCTGGGGTGGCCTGGTCTCCACCTGCCGGATGGGGGGTTAAGCTCTGGGAGTCTGCTGTGGCGACCGGGGACACCCCCTGTCCTGCAGCGCCACAGGGCTGCGCCTGCTGTTGTCTGGATCATTCCTGAGAGATCCCAGACAGGCACACGCCCTTCTTCAAGCCCTGGCCCACAAGGCAGCGCTCCCCCAGCAGCAGCCCTCTGGAGTAGTGGAGGCAGAAGTTACAGGTACGAGAAGAGCTTCAGATTAACAGATGCCCTGGCCTGGATGGGTTTCATCCAGCTGTACGTACAGCAGTTGGAAAACAGGTGTGAGCCTTGGACACAAAGTCTTTCAGCCCTCATGCATCTGAGGGGAGGGCATATCGACCGGGAAACTTTTCACCCAGAACGAGGGTCACAAAGCCGAACGAAGTGACTATAGACCATTAAGTCTGACTTCTGTGACATGTGATGTTATGGAAATGATCATTAGAACCAAACTAGAGGATCATCTGTATGGCAATATGATCCCAGCAGTTATTCAGCATGGATTTAAATAAGGGTTGATGTTCTTCACTAATTTATGAGAGTTCTTTGAACGATCGCCAGCATTAATGAATGCTAGCACAATACAGTGCATGTTACAGTCTTATTGCACCGATCAGGATGAAGAGACAAAAGTGTCTCCAGCTGCTTGAGGCCTTGTGCAGCAGTGCCGTACTGTTGCTGGGCATGTGAGGACTCTGTGGTGTTAATAACCAACAGCTCTGTGCCCCGCAGGAACATGGCCCTGTTCGGGAAATGTCCCGCGCGTCCGATATGCAAACGCACTTTTCCCAGATGACTTTCATCTGAAACATAAGTCGGTTACAAAAGATGTGATGGAAAAATAAAAGTTCTTAAGCAAACTACATTAACACATCAATCACTGGCTTCAAAGACAAGTCCAAATTCCAAGAAGGAGGATTGTGCCAAACAAGAGTGCCTGATACCCAGGACTTCAGTTTCGCTCAGCTCGGGGATATCCACAAATAAAACAGCATTGAACTACTTTCGTCCAGGTGGCCAGGCCGACTGACTGCCCGGTCAGTGTGACCAAATCCCCAGATTCTGTCCGTCCATCTCTCCTTCCTTCTGTCTCTCACGCTGCCATGTTAACGTCTCTGTCTTCTCAGCCGCCTCATGCCTGCTTCTCCTTGTGTAATTTACTACTCTCGCACCCGGGTGCCAAGTTCATTTCGAATGTCCGGGGTCATTATTCGGAGAGCGCACGGTTCCCACTGTGCAAGCTGATGGCTTTATTCTAAAGGCTTACGGACGGAGACTGAGCTATGCTTTATTTGAATCATCAGGAAAATAACTTAATAGGATCTATAAGTCTTCCCACTTTCCTCTTCACAAGGAATCCGCTACAATCCGTGTTGTGGAATGCAAAAAGGAAAATCTTAACTAGAACATTCTGCATAGCAGGAGTGCCAGTCAAAGCCAAGGAGTCTCATTTCTGCACGTGTCCGTTTTTGCATTTCTTTTAAAAGGAGGGAATCGCATGTCTCTTTGAGTGACAGCGCACGTCTCCCTGAGAGCCTCTTTGCACGATTTGCACTATCTGGAAGGCGCAGGCAGCCGTGCCGCGACCCTCCAGCCCGTGTGCCGGCAGGAGATAGGCTAGCTGGCGCAGGCCCGTACTGCAGCCGCTGGTAAACAGGACACGTGTCGGACTCCTCTGCAGCTCTCCCTTCACTCAACTGTCAGTTCGCCACAGCGCTCGATTGATCAACACCACGCAAACACGCCAGTGGGCTGGCACCCCAACACCTCCAGACCGTCTGCTCCCCTCTGATGCTGTGATTCAGAACTTTAAGGCTACGACCACAGCATTAACCTTCCACACAGAGCACACCAGCGACCATGACAGCCAGTGGACCCTATGGGCATGGTTGGCTTTTGTAAGAGGATAAAGGGGAAGACATCCGGCAACAGATCTATCACAAAACCACGATGATAGTTTAAATTAGAACAGACACATTCAGGTTAAGGATGGTTTTTAATTGTCTTTTGTTCTATGCACCTTATCTTTAATCAAACTCATTACTACCAGACAGCTAATTGATTCGGGAGGCGTTTGGTACGTTTTTTTCCTTGGCAGTCTGATTTTCAAGGTGGTGTTTTACCCAGCTGCTGTGGAAAATCTGGTGACTCTGCCAAGGGAGTCTGTGAAGTTGCTGGTTGTCTTTCCTGCTCTGAGCTCTCCGATCCTCATGGTCTTTATCAGCGCTGCTCCAGCTCTTACTAGGCTCGGCAGTCGATAGTGCAGCTGGCACGTCTGCTGTCATCTGGTGAGCACAGCTGTATGAGGACTCACACACAACATGAGGGGCTCCCTACCACCTCACCATGGGCTGCTGTCTCCCTCATGGCCTCCCTGGTTCAGCTCTCCTGAAACGCTTCTCTGGGAAACCTGACCCCTGAGGCTCTGGGATCCCTTATGGGCCCAAGAAGTTTGGCAGATGTGGGCCTGTTTGCTCCCCTCTCCCTACACAACTCAACTCGGATATCGATACCCTTCCCTTTTTTTAGAAACGCGCTCTTTGACTCAGTCATGCTGACCTGCTGGTGATTACTCACTCAGCTATGCAAGTGTTTGTAAAATGCTTTTAAGTTTTTCACTAGGACATCAAAGCCACCAATATACTGCGATTTAAAAGGCAGGTGGGCCCCTAGTGGGCTTGAGTAAGTTGTTCAACCCAACCCGCTGCAGGGGGAGCTTCCCAAATGAATATAGATCTGATTTTAAAGAGATGGTGCTGCTGGAGGGATAGGGGTTGAGTTTCTGGGTGGGATCAGCAGAGGAAACACAACAACCCGTAACTTAGTCTGTGAACCAAATCACACCGGATAAGTGTGAGCAAGGAGGAAAAGGTCATCTGATTCAGTGATGTAGTGAACCAAATAAGAAATGCATTGTTTCACTGCAGAGAGATCGACAGATTAGGTTCTATAAATAAGTCTGCATGTAAGCGTTTTCCTTTTAAAAGGTTCCTGGAGTAAACCCTTATGTAATATCCACTGCTGTGTAAAAAGCACATAAGGTGTTTGTTTTGTTTTTATTGTGATTATATCTGAAGCAGACTAGAACGACACTTTAGTATTTTGTGGTAAATGATCTGCATGTGTACACATAGCACAGATTGCACCCTAGAAGAGACTGAAAATATGTAGAAAAGTCAACTTTCCTCACAGCGGTGTGCAAGTCCACCAGGTTGCCCACTGTCTCTGCTGTCCTGATATCTGAACAGAAAAAATCAAGCAATTTCTCCTGGAAATTTCAGAACACAGACTGTTGACAGTCTGTTGACATCATAGTTGACACCATGGAAAGATGCTGAACTTTCTATCCAGTTTTCTTTTAAACCAATGTCACACAGGACGAGTCTACAGAAAGTGAAATTTTGGAAATATCTTTCCTAGTACAAAAATTCCCCCCTGTTGAGGACTCAGCAACCCAAGCAAACCCAGCTCCGTTCTGAAACAGTCATGGATGCAGAAGAGCTACAAGAAGACACTGGGATGCCGAGCCTGAAGAGTTTAAAGAGAGGGAACTGTGAATTGTCCCTGACAACGATGAAGCTGTCTGCTTCTGTATCTTCTCAGCCCAGACTCTACAGCCAAGATCCTTCACCCCTGTTCACTGTTACCTGCAACTCGGCTGTGAGTTTCTATAGAAACGTCCCAGTCCTACCGAGAATGAGGACACTTCTGTAGGAACCCTGAGGATATTTTCACCAGTGTGTGTCCTGTACTACTCTGCTGGGCAATGTGAGCGCTTCGCAGTGTCTCAGTGTGTCCCTGGCTGTGGGAATGGGGCAGGACCTGTGGCATTTCCTGTTTTCTGGAGATCACACATGACAGTGTCATTGACATAACGAGCATCTGCTGTCTCTTTCTTTAGATATTTTTTCCTTTTCTGACCCTCTTGCAGACCATGGTACAGTGCAGACTTTACAAAAACACTTTGTCTTGAACTATCAGAGCACAGGCCATTTGAAGATGCATTTCACTGCAGTCTTCTACTGATAATGTATCCTTCATAAACATTCATTGAGCACTGTAACACACAATCTAAAACATTTTACACAAGCACAATATTCACCTACCTCCAGATGAACAGAGCAGATTACCAGATTGTAACATCCTCTTAGACTACCTGAATTATATTTGCCATTTCCATTACTAGCACCACTCCTGTGGAAGCAGACAGCACCCGTCCTGCAGGAACCCCTAACAAACAGTACAAGCTAAGGGGCAGTGCGGAAACTGAGGACTGGAGGCATTTCGTTACACAAAGGGTGGTGAGGGTCTGGGAGAATCGACCCCTCCACATCATGGGAGCTGATACTCTGGTTTCTTTCAAGAAATGGCTGAATGGGGTCTCGATTTAAAAACAAAAAAATCGAATCAGTTAGCCAACAGTGACCGGTTATTGCATTCCATTTTTTTCATGTTCTTATGGTCTTAATTAAATCTGTTTTATAACTGTTAAACTTCAGACCCAGGAATCCCGCCAGTGCACAGCCATCTCCAAACCATACTTTGTCAGATGGGTATTTGATTTTTGGGAACAGCCTGAACATCCTAATTCATTTATTCCATTTGTCCTCCGTGAAATCCCCCCACTCAGGCTTGGCGTTTCTCCGGTGGGTTCTTGCCCGTCATGGGCTCAGCTTTCCCAAGCAAGCAGGTTTCATCTGGAAATCAGTTTGGAATGCTGTCTCACAGGCACGGGGGGGCTGCGCCGCGGAGAGAGCACGCTGCAATATCAGTTCACAGCGGCGTAAATCACAGTGACGGCGGACAGTCAGAATTACGACCCAGCCTGTAGCCCATAGAAAGGCTCATGGCGCTGGGCCCTCTCGGCGTGTTGCACACTGAGCGCGTTCTGTTAGGGGCTGAGAGGAAGCACGATCAAATATCACTATTCTGTCATAAAAATTAAATTTCCCCAAATTAAATGTAGCAAAGTCGTAAACTATTAAGTGCATTAAATGTTTTATTAACTCTTTAAATCCCTGTAGTATTTGGCAATGAGATTGAAAGCTCTCCTGTTACAACAGGACGCCTGTCCATGCCAGACAGGGCTCAGACAGGGCGCATAGTGTGTAGCTGATGGAGGTGAAGCCGATCAGACTCCCACTGCAAAGACACTAGATTCATTTCAAACTTCTGGCCACAGGGTCTTAAACAAATAATTTATTTTTAAAATGATCTAATATAATTTCCCATTATTTTAAATGCTCATGACCATCTCCAAAAAATCTCTTAGAGTGCGATTACAAGTGTGAAATTTCCAGTATGAGTTGTTGTTTTGCACAAAAACATGCGGCTTGGAAAAAAACTGACGAGGATTAAACAGCTGTGCAACGAGATCATGATCTCTTTCCCTGTGCTTTGTGTGTACAGTGTGCTTCCCAGCAAAGGGACTTTGCTGTTAATGTTTCAGAGGAACAAAATGAAAACAAAACAGTTTTGAATAATTGAAGACCTACTGGCCCATCAAAGCTCTGCCTGTTTCTGTTTAATAAGATGCAACCAAACAGCACTCCCTGTCATGAAGACAAATGACAAAATGTCTGTCTGTGTCCCTCTTGATCAGTGCTGACAGCAGAGGCACATTAAAAGGTCAAAATATTAAATTACCAAAATTCCTTTTCTTAAAAAATTCAAAGCATCCCCCAGAAACATATCCACGACCAACACCGTAGGAGCACAAAGTCCCTGCAACTGCACGGTTGAAGAGAAGCACAAAGCTGGAGCAGCATGAGTGTAACAGGTTCAATAACGAGAGAAAAGGCAGCGTGCAAAGTCACACAAAACCAACCGAGCAGAAAACAAGCCTTCAGGAAGGACAGGGAAGTGTGTCCTTACCTGTAAGGGGTGCGCGAGTCTCTGGGTCACTGGGGGTCCGGGGGTCCCTGTCTGCTGCTCATCTCCAGGCCCGTGTGTGGCAGGCAGGCGGCCCGGCCATGTGCAGCACCCCGATAGCTGTGCGTGTCCGCTGGGATCTCCGGGAGGCAGTAATGACACAGGGTCCCAAGAAACGGTCTTGTGAAGAGCCTGAGCACATCAGCTCACTGCAGAAACTGCTGTTCACGTTCCAGGCACCCAGTGAACCTCTCTCTCACTGTCCTGCTCTCTCTCTCCAACTCTCTCACTCTCTCTCTCCTGCACTCTTTCTGTCTCTTCTGCTCTCTCTGTGCCTTTATCTCTTTCACCCACACACTCTCTCTGTCTCTCCCTGCCCCTGTTCCCCTCAAGCTCCACCACTCCTGTCTTGTCCAAAACATAGGAAAGTCCCTCCAGCTCTGAAAATGTGTCTGCTGAATAATTCCCACAACACAAACAGCAGGCAGGCTGGGAGAGTCTCACTTTGTACCCCTCACGCAAGCTTTCCGAATTGCCTCAAGTGACAGTTGCTTGTGCAGTCCAGGAGCAAAGGAAAAGAAAGCATTATTTCAGGGGTAATGACAAACAGATTTCTGCACAGCTGAGCAGAAGGGAGCTGGTGAGAGGAAAGGAACAGCAGTGAATGTGTGCGAGTGTGTGTGTGTTCTGTTTACCTCTGCCTTTGTTTCGCATCGCAGAACAGAACAACAGCTGAGCCCCTGACACATCTCTGCACTCCACACCCGAGTTTGTCAGCGCTGGAAATGAACGTGCAGACTCCTGCCCAACTTGAATTTCAGCAAAGTCATGCGAAGAGGCAGATAAACCTGCACTTAGCCTCAAACGTCTGTTTTGAGAAGATGAGACTCAGCCTTCCAGCACCAACTCTCTGACTCTCTGGGTATTCCAGAAGGACAATAAGCACAGTCTGATGAGCTGCGCTGAGCTGCGCTGAGCTGTGCTGCGCTGCACTGTGCTGTGCTGTGTTGTGTTGTGTTGTGCTGTGCTGAACTGAGCAGTGTTGAGCTGAGCTGAGCTGTGTTGAGCTGAGCTGTGTTGTGCTGTGTTGAGCTGAGCTGAGCTGTGTTGAGCTGAGCTGAGCTGAGATGAGCTGTGCTGTGCTGTCCAGGAAGCCCCTGCAGATGCACAGAGGAAGAGTCCTGACTTCACCATTTCAGCACCTCTCTGGTCCTTCCTCACCTCTGCCCACAAGGGCCCTGGAACAGGAGGTGAGCTGGGAAGCCCATCCCAGTGGTGTCTCTCAGGTTCGAGACTCGGAGCTCTCCCCGAATGAAATTTTACATTGGGATTTTACCACGGTAAAAGCTGAGTAATTACCTCAAGTATAGTTAGTGTAGTTATGATCTTTTTTCCTTTTTCTCTCCCTCTTTCCACCAGTTATTTCTAGACTTCATCAAAGCTGTCTATGCATCTGTGCTGTGCAGATACATGCTACTCACTTGAGAAACTTTTCAAACATTTAATTTCTTAGGCATTTAGCCTGGAAAAAGGGGAGAAAAACACTTGAATTTGAATTTTCAGGGGTTAAAACATTTTTACTGCACGTCCTGTCTGAGTGTGTGAAGGCACGCAGGAAGGTTTTCGCGTGAATCTCTGAAGTCGACATGGCGAGGGACCACACGCGGCTCGGGAAACCAGCGAAGGGGGAAAAACCCGCGCTTTCAACAGGAAACATTAAGCATTTGACACCGTTTTAAGGAGCGTCTCCTCTCACTACCCTGTGTGTTCAGGGCGAGAGCCTGACCTTGAGTCTGAGGACTCATAAATTCTGATTCAGGGCTTTAAAAACAATATTTTTTAAAACCAACATTTGCCCGGAGCCCAGAGGACCGAGCTACTTCACTGTCCTGTGGGAAACCGCCACCGACACCATTACAGCTTCACTACTGAGCGGCCGGTGTGGCTCTAACTGTCGGTACCAGCCGGCCCTGCAGTTCCTGGACACGTTGAGAAAAAACTGGATTTTTACAGTTGCCCAGAAACGCAACTAAGTTACCAAGTAAAAATAGCACCGAACTGACACCGCAGCTTTATCGCTGACTGGGGGCTGGCAGTAGAATAGGCTCATATAGTTGAATATGCGGAATAATGTTTTTTTAAAGCATATAAACATAAAATGTTTTGTTTTGTTTTTTCCGATTTTGTATTGGTCTACCAGTCATTTACGGCCATCTTTCTTTAGACGCTCAATTTATATCCTTACGTCGCGTTTCAAATGTACACAGATTAAATAAGTGATCCGCTGTGCACTGTGCCTTTTACGGACGAACTCGTTATCACAATTTAATTAAGACAAGTCGCAGCTTTAAAAAAAATGTAAAAAATTACATAGAACTGTAAATTATAAAATGGAAAATAATTAATGGAGGTGCTTGTTGAGGTTCACGTAATTAAACGGCAAAATTAATTTACTCAAGGTTTAATGTTCACTTTCCACATTCATTTAGTTCAGGATAAGGGAATCACTGTCCAGGTTTCCCTCAGTAGCGTAAAGGGCCGAGCGCGAAAAATGTGTCACACTGATGCAGCGTGAAAACCAGCAGCTTCGATTGATTTTTTTTATTGCAATCTTATTTATATTTGCTTACCCCACAAAGCCTAGAGTTTCACGAACGTCATTCTGCAAGGCGATCAAAGAGATTACGGCATTAACAGGGATCATTAATCATTTAGGAGTGAAGAAAATAAATTAAAAGTGTATTTTGATATTTTGAACAACTGTATTGATCTGTCGGGTGAAAGGGATCTCGTTCACACGAAATAAACGGACTCAACCCCGTGAAATAAACACGAATAAAACTAAACCCTCGGAACGATTCCCTCGAGTGCTCCACGTCCGCGCAATGTGGTGTAATGTCGCCCCCTGCTGCACCACAGTGGAGATGGAAGTAAAGTCAACGTTATCGCTTCAAATTAAAAGCGTCATAGACTTATTTAATTTAACACGGAAGAAGGCTCCAAAGCCGAAACGTTGTGTTTCGTTTCTGCTCTCTTCAGCAGGGAATATACCTTCACTTGTTCCTTTACAGCCTGTGCATGCTGATTCAGCTCCCTACTTGAACTACCTATTTAATTTAAAGGATACAATCAGATTGGGTGGTTTTGGAATGCCAGAGGGTAAGTAATTCAGATATTTTAAAAACGAAAACAGCCATTTTTTTTATTCCAGTGCCGTTGGATTCCCAAGCCTAGCTGTCAGGTCTGCCTCCAAGGTGTGTGTCCTGTCAGCCAGCGCGTGCTTTCTGGTGTCTCCCGCACGATCATCCCCCCTGTCGCCCAGCACGGCAGACAATATCCCCTGCACCTCACCGAAAGTTTGTTTTTTTAAGCTTTTTATTGCTGAAAAGCAGCTCAACATTGCACTTTGCCACAATAACGCTGCTATGCATCACATCCATCGGGAGAGTTTATATAGGTGGAAAATCCTGTAATTATATTACTGCATCTTTTGACATTTTGAGTGTTATCGGAATCGTGCAGGTAGAATGTCTTTCTACCTAATCCGCTCCAAATACTCTGTATAAGAATGATGCACAACAGATAAAAAGACATTTCTGTCGACTGTCCATTTCCCGATCTCTCGGTCCTTGGACTGATCGGGTCAGAACCCCCAGCTCAGTCCGCAGGTGCGTGGCCCACACGCTGGCACGCTCATCCCGGATTCCACTCCAGAGCAGGCTGTCTGCCACCGGGCCAGGCCGTCCCACGGACCAAACCATCAGCGTGCATTCACAGGTCCAAACGCCTGGGCTGAAATGCAGTTCTAATTTCAGACTGCATCAAGGAAGACGTGCGCGCCTGTGTGTGTGTGCGTGCGTTTCGCAGGGCTGCCTACAAGGGATTTCAGATCTGCATCAGTGGGCTCACTCTGCATGTTAACATCGCTGGCTTTTTCTGCAGCACTAAGTACTGAAATGTCTGCTGGGGGGAACTGGGAGTAATTGTTAATGCTGTCACACAGCCATGGCAAAACACAGTCGAGACTGAGCTGTGCATCATATACTGCCTCCTGCTCGACTCCACTCACCTGAATCACACTGAGTGCACCTCGAAGAATGTGTTCTCCCCGCGTCCTCAGCAGAAACGCATGGCGTGGTTCTGTGGCGCCCTGCAGGTGGGAACGGAGGGGGGGTTACCAGCAGGTTTCTGGGAAAGGGATGAGGGCGGCGAGGGCTTCGCAGCGGGAGGCAGGATGGAAGGCGAGAGTGAAAGCCTCCTGCTGGCTGCAGTGACGAGAGCCTCTGGGCTGCCAGCCAGGGAGGAAGAGGGAAGCGCAGGAGGGAGACACAGATGCGCGCGCGGTTGGTGAAGGTGTGGCGGACAGTCTGCTGGGCTCCTCTGGCAGCTGGGTGCAGAAGCAGCTCGCGGACACTCGCGGAGGCTCTGGTCTGCGGGCGCCCCACCTGGCTGTGAGCTGAAGGAGCTGTGCTGACACCCAGCGTGGAGCAAGATGTTCTTGCGTTGAAGAGAAGCTGCTAATAATAAGATGAAGCCTGGCTGGATTTTGAGACGGGCAGAAATGAGCCTCCTGCTGGCCCCTGTGCACCAGCGAGGACCCGAGTTCAATCCACACCTGGTCCAAATGAGTTCAAGCTCTTGGCACCCCACCTTGCCACCCTGCCCTGACAAGAGTGGCACCTGTCTAATGCCCCTCTGCTCTCCAACCTGCACCAGTTATAAATCTGAAATGATGACAGCAGTATAATTTTATACAGCGTGCTACATGCTCCAGAACACCAAAGAGCGTTAAGAAGAGACCCTCTCTGCCCACCTCTGTTGCACAGTTGTTCTCTCTGCACCACAGACACAGTGGAGGATAAACTGATTTCTTAGTCAGCTTATCTAGAATGGTGATTCAACTGGGGCTCTGGATATACTGTAGCATCCTGACTCATCTGAACAGAGCCTGCAAAAGGTCAGGACATGTTTTAGCTTCTCTTGAACAAGATAGCACCTCTTCCAGCACAGTGTCCCCCTAGCACCACACAGGCTTCAGACTTTGGCTCTTGTCCAGAAAGAAACCTTCTGATCTGCCAGAATCATTTCTCCTGTCCTTGCTGGAGGCCACAGGGAGAAGACTCAGCCCTGACTCTGGAGAACATGAAAGAGGTTTTGTGTAAAGGGATGGCCGTTGCTGACAGGTTTGGTATTCAAGCATGTTGCACTGGCTGGGCCTGACACTTAGTTAGAGTAACACATTGACAAAAATGCCCTAAACCTGTAAGGGACGACACCTCCTCAACACCTGCCCCACCCACATCCATTTGATTCACTCAGCAAATCCAAGGCTTTTTAGCCAGTCTGAGATGGTATTTCTTGCTCTGTGTGCATTCCTTTAAAGATCTCCTGCTCTGCTGAGTGTTTTACAGTCCTGAGGAGTTCAGACCAATTATTACGAGTCCTGCAGGTTTGCTTATGCACTGAGGCCTGGCAGCATCAAGCAATCTGTTTAGGCTTCGTAATTAAAGCATGAATCAGAAAGGCAGGCTACACACTGATTCGAGAGTCTTCAGAGTGGGTCTGGGCAGAAATCCCCCAACACCAGGGAAACCCCAGAAGATTCTGAAGCTCTTCTCAAACACATGATCTGAAACGGCTGATTCTTCTCTTCCGTCAAACACGCCGGCCGTGAGGCAGCTGCACCCCTGCAGGGCTTCGCCCGGTCAGCACTTGCAGAGGTACCCCAGCACCCTGCTTCTGGGCATCACAGCCTGAGCTCTGAGTCAACTGGTCGTATCCACCTCTACGTTTTACCTGTTTCATGCTCTCAGGAGCATTAATAACCTCTTTCATGTGATACACAGCGAGCAGAACTCCACCTGAACTCGGTACAAAGCTGATGCTGCCCGTGGCTTTGCAAGCAGCTGTAACTGCTGCTCGACCGGTGAAGGGCAGACACAGGTCTGACAAATGTTCCCAGCGCTGCAGGGTCTCATCAACAGCGAGAAGAACTGAAACAGAGCATCTGGCGCAGGTTTCATGTCTAATTTCTATCCTGGTTTCTAACCTGTTGAAGAACTGAAACTGTTTTCTTTCTCAAACTCAAGAAAAGTTGTGCAGTTTATGTTCAATCCATTTATAGGATTTTTTAAGAGAAGACAGTAGAATATTACATGGTGCTACGTAATAGTAATTGTGAACAATCATCATGGCATTGGTGATGTGGGTCAGAAACAAACTGTGAAAGAGAAAGCCGAAGACCTTGATGAGCCAACCTTATACAAGGTGAGTACCCCAGAAAACAGGTAGGTCCAGGAGCTGGACTGGCAATCGCTTCCAGGACAACGGAGCCACAAAGCAAAGCCCAGCACAGTGGGGACTCCAGACGCAGCCCTGCTGTTTCCTCTGTAGCCTCAAACAGCGCAGCTCCATCAGACTGCATCACCATCAGCGCTGCCTGATCTGAAGCAAACAGACGGCCCCTCTTGAATTATGATTCCCAAGATCTTTGCAATGCCGAATTGCCCGTGTGGCTGAGACAGACGAGTTGGGGAAGAATTCGAGGTTAACCTAACGTCTCGGCCTGTCTTCACCTTGCCCACAGGCAGTGGCGTTTTGCCTTCTCAACAAGTGGTTGAAATAAACTGATGCAAACCTGTGTTTTATTACCCCAGGCGGGCTAATGAATGCATCAGGACTCGTTGATCTGGTGTTAGTCTCCATCTTGATCCTGACCCTCCAGTTATTGTATAAAACAGAACACTGAAGAATTCAGGTGTCATATTAGTTGGAATTAGGAGGATATTAATTGAGCACTATGCCTGGAGTATCTCCCATTATATATTGCTTTCTTTGCATTTTGCATGGTCCAGTATATTTTGTTTTTGACTAGAAGGCACTGCAAGACACCCTCAGGGCCAGAGAGGTATCGGTGCATGCCAGTTCAGGTACTGTAGGTGCCCTCTTGACCTGCACACATCGAGAACAAGCAGCAGAAAGCACGCAGGTCTGCAGACAAGCCGGGCTCCTGGATCTCTTTTGTTCCTTCACTGTTTACAAGTTCAGAATTTGCTTTCTAACCTTTAAAAGTTAATGGTCAGCAGATCGATCACTAAATTCACTCAAGAAGGAAAAGCAGGTGATATACATGAAATAATCTTCTTTTAAACAAACACGCTACAAAGCACGACAAGATCCACTTGCATAAAAGGTCATCGGGAACTAACTTCAGCGCACGGGTTATTTGCAGTAGTTTTATATACTTAGTTACGCCATTTTCATGGGAAAACATCAACAAACCTGCGGGTTTCTAAGACGCTAGACAGGAGGAAATGTAAAGGCGTATGTTCCCTATAGAGAAAATGTTGAAAATAAGCTTTCTGTGTGAATAGCGAGCTACGAGGGCAGGTACCGCGGAGAAACTTTGCGCGACTCGGGTCCTGCGGGAAGTCGAAACCCAGCACATTCCTGCTACAGACATGATGTTTAATACAGGAAATTTCACATCCGGGAAACGAAACATGAGCAAAGACGTGGAATGCAAACGTTAGATTTTTTTTCTTAAACGCTGTAATGACGGGAGTAAAGGGGACCCTGATTGGCGGATGGAAACAACAAGAAATCTAAACCTTAGGACCCCCCGGCACCGAGAGCCGGAGGGCGATGCTCGTCGGTAATAAACGCGGCCCCCAGGACGCACCTCGGGGCTTATAACGGGGGTACAGGCGGTATTAATCAGGTTTTTCACGCCTGCATGTCGCCAGAGGTAACCAATCATAAAATCGCTCACATCAATGCCTAGGACTACAGCGCACAATGGTGCTCGCAGTGAGCGGCTCTCACACAAACCCGCACGCCCTGCTTGACTGACAGCTGAGCGCCCAATCGCGGCGCGCAGGGGCCCGGCTGCCGCCCCGCTCAGCCAATGGGCGGCGGCGCAGCCCGGGTCCAGCTGAGGTTAGGCTGTTCCTGCAGCCTGCCTGAGCTAAACTTCACCAAATAATAGCTGTTTGTATTTTGGCTGCTGCAGTAGCCATTTTAGGTAAGTACTTCTTTTAACTTTTATTTTTCCAGTGCCGTTCTGTGCCGATAACCCCTGCGTTGGTCGCGGTGTGCTCATGGTCCAGACCCGAACTCCGCGCATCTCAGCATGAATGAACTCCGGGGCTCTGTTGTGCTTTACCAGGATTAAGAAATTGCATTGAGTTTTTTTTTCCTCTTTTTTTTTTCTCTCCCCACCACCTCCCCCCTATAATTTTTAATGCATTTTTTTCTTAGAGACTGTCATGGCGTGTTTGTGTCCTTGGGAATAGACGCTGTGGAGCGGGGCTCGCAGATGCTGGGTAGCGCTGAGTGTGCAAACTGCCCAGCAGGAGCAGAGTGGGGGTTGAGCCGATGCCCCGGTGCGGAGTTTCGGGGGGTGCCAACACGTGTAAGGGAGCGGAATATTCAACATTATTGCAGTGTGACATTAGAGTTGGCACAAATAGAAGACTTTGCCGTTGGTGAGGTTTAATTAAAGGGATCGGGGGGGGGTCTTAGTAATGCAACGCGAATCTGGCTTCAAGCTTTCCTCAACTATAAGTAATCTGGATGTGATTATAAACGTGACTTTTTTCCAGGCTGAAGAAAACCCACCCCCCCCTCAGGTAAACGGGTTTTCGGGTCTGCGGTGCACGGACAGGCGCCTCTCAGTCAGACAAAGGCTGCGGGCAGGTTGGGAGACTCAAACTTGCACTTGCGTTTGTGTTTCAACCCAAACGTTACGGGTCTGTCGTGTTTTCTCGCGCCCCCTCCTTTTCATTTGGAGACAGGGGGAAGGATTCAGTCCTAGACGCCACCATACCTTAAAAGGTATTAGTGCAAAGTAACAAAAGCCTCTTCCTCTCCGTCTTCGCTTGGCGATACAAAGTTGAGTTACCCCGAGCGCGGCGCGGCAGGACGGACCCATCACCCCCGGGACCACCTGTCCGTCCCCTTCGGGGTAATCACCCGCGCGGTTCCCTCCGGAGGGATGGCCGGCAGGGGTAGCTCCGCGGTCCGGGATTGGAAAATTCTTTACGCAATGATAAAATTTTTTTCCCTTTAAATGAAAATAATTCTTGGTGTCTGCGTGCATCTTGACGCGGGGCTGGACGGCGCTTGTAGCACGTGGTTTTACCCAGTTTAACTCGCACCGGTGAGTTACAGAGGAACAGGTGAAATCAAGGTGCAGTTCTGTAAATCCACATCAATGAAAAATGAGCTCGACATGGTTGCTGCTGCAGTACAGTTTTTGCAAATAATATAGCAGTTCCTATTTTATAGTTAAGTATTAAATCTTGGGCTACATACAGCTCAGATTTGGAGTCTTGGACTACTTGTTCTGGTCCGAAAGCGTCCTGCTCTGTGGTGGATCCTCTCTACATCAGAGCTCCTCAGCCTGCAGTTCTACCAGTCGACACCATTGCAGAAATGTGCTCCTCCTGTCTGCTTAATTATTGAATTGAAAATGAGCACGATCGATCTGGTAATGCAGGTGGCTGTGGCAGAGTCGACTTCGCCGAGCAGGTTGGTGGGCAGAAGAGCCTGTCGCTCAGGCGCACGCAGGATATGTCTCTTCTCCTCCTGCCTTGAGCTTTTTATGGGAGTAAATTCTTGCAGACGAGTGTGTGATTATTTCAGAAAAAATAGTTGCTACTGACTCCGAAGGCCTTCGGCTTACCAAACAATTTGATTATTTCTCAGTGCCTAACTTGGAACTTGGGGAAGATTATATCCCAGACGGTTGCACGGGCAGAACGCCCCTAACACGAAGTCTCCGTAGGGCATCACCACACTCCTGTTGTCACCCTGCCCCAGACACTCTTCTGCTCCTCCCCATGCCTGTACTGGAGTCAGAACCACCTCTGCTCTGCACCAGGTTTCTTCATTTAAAAACTCAGGTTACTTTTGAATCCTTTCACCCTGCGTTTTGCACTAGTGATCATTTCCTGTTCTCATGCTGTAAGTGCTGTAGCTCCACAAGCAGCGAAGACAGTGTCTTAGGTGAGCCACTGAGAGGCTGTCAGTGACCTTCCGAAAGGCCACAGTAAGAGTGATAAGCACTGTGCACTTGTGACTGGTAGGGTGTCTCTGCCAGGCAGCTGCCCTGGGATGGGAGACACACAGCTGGAGAAACTTACTCTCAGTGCTGCCTAACATCCAGCCTCTAAGGACTGGTGCTTTGTCTCTGAAGATCAGCAAGATTGGGTCTGGTCAGAACTGGGATGGAGGACTTCCAAGGAAAGCCTCCTCCTGTCAGTGGAGAGGGTGGACCAGTAGGGGGCGCTCTGAGACCCCAGTGAAGTCTCTTGTAGTGTTCTGAGTTTGAACAACCTGGCCACTCTGATCTTCCCCAGTGGGGCTGCTGTACACCATTTACATCAGGCTTTAGGAGCTCTACAAATATAAATATAATCGCTTATCAGTCTCAAAACGTTTCTTTAATTCCTCTGAGGCTGAAGAGACGGAAAGCAGTGTAACTAGGGCCAGAGATGGAAACGACTGGCGTAATCAAGCAGTTCCAGAGAAAGCTCTAAATGGGAGCAGATTGCACACCCCTGTGCCTCAGTCCTGCAGTGCTGATTGGGGTAATCGCTTCCTTCGGGTCTTGAGGTGTTTGTGAACCCCACTGGAATGTGCCCCTCCCCCCTTCCCAATGGCATATTTGGAAACTCTGTTGCAGGTAGACTGGATTAAAGACAAAAGTTTTCTCAGTACCTGAGATCATGGATTTCCAGTATGTCTTGCATTATATCTACAAAGTAAAGAACCGAGTATTTATTTCTTGACAGATTAACTAAATTAACTCTGCTTGAGAGGTGGCTTCATCTGGACCTCCACATCTTTTCCATTTTTGCAGTAAAAGCGAGAAACCTTTTGGCTTTTGTTTGTCTGGAGGCCGTCTTGAGGGTCAGTCGAATCCAGGCTGTTTGCGGTGCTGTGGGTGTCAGGAGCTGTGCAGAGAGGCAGACTCTGCGGGGCTGTGAGATGCAGAGGCTGGCTGGTTATTTAAGCCAGACAGTTGATGTTCCACATGTGTTCCCTGGTGCTGAGCTGAGACAGCTGTTGGCTCTGAGCCCCGCCCACCAGTCTAAGCCCCTCCCCCTGTCTTGAGCTACACCCACCAACCAGCGCACCTCCTCCTGTCTTGAGCCCCGCCCATAAACCAGTGCCCCCTGTCCCTGTCTTGAGCCCTGCCCACAAGCCTGGCACACCTGAGGTTTCCACACTCATGGATTTCCAGGTCTTATGTATTCCTGGGAGGTGGAATAATGTAACTGGAGTCTTTTCAACAGGTTGCTCTTCTCAAGGAAGATGTGAGGTTAATTCTTGTAACTTCAGGAAATGACTGATTTAAAAAGAAGGAAGGTTGAAGACAGGACCTAGGCTTGCAGTGAGATCAGAATAGCAGGCTGTTATCAGCTTGCATCTGCACCCACATATAAGGCTGGGTCTTTCTGTGGAGCGATCCAGGGACGTAAACTAATGCTAATGCTCCTAAGTCATTAGTGTTATATAATCTTTGCCTTCTTAAACTTAATGAGACGGTTTCATATTTACTGTTTTAGATGTATATTAATGTAAAGGTTTCTGTTTTGTGATTCTCTGTATTTGTGAAATGAAAATAAAGATCTTAAAAATCAAAATCGAGCCTGGGAAGATGCCCTATTCTGGGGTACAACAGCAGTGTTGCACCTGGGATGTGAACTCACAGTCCTGAGCCCTGACCTCCGCTCCACACTGCTGTTACAGTCCAGTACAGCATTAACATGGAAGAAAGTGTTTTGCACTGCGGGCTTGGAAGAGCGCTGGAGTGAGTGGCGAGAGGAGGGGGTGATCTCTGTCTGCCCCCTTCCGAGTCCGAGCCCTGGAAGCTGAGGCGTCTGGAAGGGAGCAGGAAACAGGAGCGAGAAGGGCAGTGTCTGTTCAGGTGCTGCGTGCTGATTTGCAAATATACTGCGTCAGGAAAGTTGTTGAATCCGAACGTGTCCGAGCAGACCGAAGCGTTTTGAAAATCCCAAAAGTGTGCTGCTGTTGAAAATCAGATTCTTTAAGCCTTGGGGCACAATGCATTTCTTTTTTCTTAAAGTCGTGACAAAGCCAGTGCGATAGAGGTTATAACAAGACCTTCCTCTGCCCAGCTGTAATAGGGCACCAGGCAGGTGATGGACCCCCGACTGCACTTGTGCTCACTAGGTCTCGGTGTCGCCGGCTTACAAAACGAATCTTCTTTCTTTTCTAGATGTGAAGATTAGCGAAGTCTGTGACATCATGAAAATACAAAAGAAGGAAAGGCAGGTTGGTGGAATGTTATTTTGTATCCGTGTTTTCACTTTTCCGTTAGAAATGCTTGGATTTCAAGTGGGCAGCGAAAAGCCCACAGCTGAAGAATGCTCTGTGAAACAGTTTGTGCCTGATCAGTACCTGAAGGACCCGTGGAACTCAAACAGCGACCCTGTGTGTGGTATCGGCATTATGGCAGTGTCTCTCAGTATTCAGTATCCTCCTCTGGAGCCAGTGGTTACTGCTGTCCATGAGTGTTGACGTGTGGTCCATACTTCTCAGTGTGAAAGCCAACAGTCTACAGACTGCAGCAGAGAGGTGGGAGCTGTGCGGCGCAGCTCAGGACACAGGCTGCTCTTCTGTGCGAGAGGGGCTGGGGTGGTGCTCGGGGACGAGGATGGGGGTGTGGTGTCTGCAGGGGCTGAGGGGGTACCCCGAGAGCCTCCCTGCTTCTCCTGTGGGTGGATGGGAAGCCCCTGAGCGCTCGGGTACTGTGGAATGTCATTCACATCTGCCATTACATTTGTGGGAGGTTCTGCTTTGTGTCGTTATCATTGTACAGGCGTAGCAGGGTAGCTGAAACTGGGGTGTGGCTTTGTGTACACACCAGAGGAAGCAATCTGGGGAGAGGGAATACATTTGTACTGTGTTTGGAGTTTATTGCGGTGTCGGTTTGGAAGGAGCTGTATTGTGTTGATCTTGCTGGTTCCAGTGGAGGGGCGTGCTGCCGGTGCGGGCGAGCAGGTGCATGTTGGGGGGAGGCCAGGATGTGCAGCTCGTGGGAGTCGAGACAGTTCGTGCTGTGCTCCGAAACGCTCTGACCTTTGCCAGGCCAGGAATCAGATGATTCTGGCACTGCCAAGCCTGAGTCCTGCAAGCTGAGAAATGGAAGAGTTCTGTTTTCAGTTTTTTTCCAGATTAGTTCTGGCCTTGGTGCCAAAAACATTGTGAGTATCTTACAGATAAAATCACAAGGAGTCCCAGTCTATGAACGCAGCAGTGACCAATTAATGTTTGTTGTCTGATTAAAGCAAAGTGCCACACAAATGCCTGTATTGGAGACACTATTTAAGAAATTGCTTAATTCGTTTCTCTTCTGTTGTGCAGTCGATTTCATTCACGAGAGCTGTGAAGCTGTGATAGTTCACTGTTATTTTGAACAGCAATCTGTAAACTTCTTAATCAGACTGCCGTGAGGCTTGATGGTCAAATGTTTTGTGATAATAACTCCTTGCTTCTTATGTAGTGTCTGTCATCCCAGTGGATCCCAAAGTGCTGTGCATTCAGCACAGCTTCCACTGCACCACTGTGCAGCCCCACCTAGGTTCTGTGCAGCAGCAGTTCTGTACCTGGGAACTGCTTGTGTTAGCCCACGATTCCACAAGGCACCTACTGTGGCAGAGATTTTGTTTTTGGAAATTCTGGCCAGGAGGGAAGAGCACCACCTACTGGTTCACCAGCATCACTTACAGCAGGATCCTGGCTGTCCTCAGAGTTCTCCCACTTGGGCCCAGGCCTGGCTCAGCCCGCACAGGCCTGGCCCTGTGGAGACCCGCTGAGGTCTGGCTCTGAGGTGGTGACTCGGAGAAGCAGGAAGAGGCAGTAGGAGCAGGAGAGGGGAATGAGAGCCTGTGGGTTGGAGGGTACAGACTAGTGATTGAAAAAAATAGTTTAGTTTATCCACGTTAATGGTAGTGGTGTGGAGGAGTGGTTAAAGCTCTGGACCAGAGAGCTTTGGTTGCAAATCTGAAGTGGGACACAGCTGTGTCCTTCAGCCAGACACTTCGCTCAGGCCGTCCAGGTCCTCGTTGTAACTGAAAGTTTTCTGGGTTGGTTTACCTGTTAAAAGAATGAAAAGTAATGGAAGAGTCCTTGTCCTGCGCTGCAGTCTCAGCCCCGGCCAGCTGCGAGACAGTGGGGCAGGAGCTTACTCTCCCGGGTGAGCAGGAGGCCGGGATGTGGTCTGGCTTCGTACTTGTCCGGAAAACGAATCTCTGGATTTGTGGCAAAAGTAAAACAAAAGTGCCCCCCTCTTCCTCCTGGGCTTTGTGAGCGCATTTCCGAGTAGGGCGCTGGGGTCGTCTCTCCGAGAGACTGGGGAGAGGGGCCAGCGGTGGACAGCCTGTCCTGCTCCAGGTCCACACAGAGGTCCTCAGGCTGGTCCCTGCTGGCGTGAGAGCTGCATTGGGAAGAGTTAAACATGTTCATTTAACAGACAAATAAGCAGAGATTGGCAGTTAATGTTATAAAGCAGTTGTTAGTCTTTTAATTTAATTTTTGGTTAAAGGCTAAATCCAGGATCAGTACAACAGCATAATCAAGTGTTTTAGTAACTGTTTAATTAGCAGGTAAAGTGACACTCTATCAGGGTCACCAATTAACTAGAGAAATTTGCTTTACCATCTTGCTGAACACCGAGGCATGTGTTGGAACTCATGCTTATTATCTCTGTGGCAGAATACCTTTCTAAAGGTCACATTAACAGGTCATTAATTTGCCATAAAGACTTCCGTGCCTTTGGATTTTAAGATCGCAAAATTAATTGTATAATGAGGTGGTTACAGGTGGCTGTGAAGTGCTCCAGGAATTCCCCAATATGTATATTTTACTCTGGCTGTGAGAACTATTAATATAGTTATTGTGTAGCTGTACCGTTACTATCGTTAAGCCAGCAAATTAAATGTGTCTTTGCTGGGAGAGAGAAGGGTGACTGTGTGGGAGAGAGCCGGGCTGCTGTGGGCTGGCTTGAGCTTTGAGAAGGAGGGATGTTGGTATTATCAGATCAGCTGCTCAGCTCTTCATTTCTAGAGGTGCATCAGCAGACCACTCACCACAGGGTCCTTACAGTTTGCCCCTGCAGTGGTTAATGGTCTTCCTGCTGCCTCGCATCACGTCCGTACGATTAAGAGGTTTAGTATTGACACTGCTGATAAAGGCAGTATTGTGTCATGGCCTGCAGGCTGCGGGCTGTGGCTGTAAATTGCAGCAGCTCATGAGGCCAGTGTGGGCTCCTGCCCCTGTTTCATATTGGCCCCTCCTGTTGGTGGGGTAACTAGATGCGGCGGTGACGTCCCGGGAGGAGCCAGCCTGCGTGCCCAGCGGTGGCACGGAGGGGCGCTGTGTGTCCCAGGAGCGAGGCTCTGGTCCGTGGGGCCGGGGGGCTAAGAGAGCAGCAGTGTGGCTGTGCAGCGAGCTGTGGGGGGAGGGAGGGAGCCCGAGCCACCCTGCCTCTCCGCCGTCTTGCTTCTCGGGAAACCTGCAGTCATTTCCCCTCCCCGTGTTCCGCACACAGGTCTCCCGCCACGCTCAAGTGCTGCCTGCCGTCTAGCGAGCGCGCGCGTGCGTGTGTGTGTGTGTCGAGCAGAGCAGTTTCTTATCAAAAGCAGGACGGAACCTGCACTCGGTGTCGGTCTCCTCAGCGTTCTGTGGAAGCGACAGCTCGAGCTAAAGGTGGGAATTGCATTGACCTAATTGCAGCTGCTTGCATCCCGCCTATTGATTGGAGACGGGTCCTGGATTGATTGCAGTGCCTGTGCTGGGGGCTGGCGGCTGCCTGCTGCAGTACGTCACAGGCTGGGCTCTGTGTGCAGTGCATGTGAGGAGGCACCATGCGCACTCTCTGCAATGTGCCGTCCGCCCGCTGCCTGTGGAGAGAGGAGCCCGGCTGAGGACGTGCCTCTGCGATAGCGGCACAGGCGCTCCCCTCGGGGCCCCGGGAGGATGCTGAGGGGGAGGAGGAGGAGGCAGGCAGCCAGGTGAGGAGCCTTCTTTCCTTTCTGCCCTGTTCCCCGCTGTGGCTGCGGGGGCCTGGCGCTGGCTGCCTGCGTTGGCGGAGGAGCGTCGCGCGGCGCTGCTGTCGAGGGCGCCCTTCCCAGCGCAGGCTCGCTTCAGGCCCGCTCTGCCCACAGCCTCGCCGTCCTCCTCCCAGCCTGCCCGGCGAGCAGCAGCCTGCCCGTGTTCTGCCTCGGTGCCGGCTGGGTAGGCACCCCTGTTTCGACTGAGTGATCTGTGTCCTGGCTCGATGTTATCTCAGGGTCGTGCTGCACAGCAAGAGCAAACAGCTAAAGCCCCGCTGTGTTACTTTATTGTGTTCTATTTATTTATTCTTCTGTCGGTGGGGGGAGAGCCCTGGAAGGTCCCGCAGTGTGTCTGTCCACCCTGAGCTCTGGTTCTGTCTGACGCGGCCTTGTCGCGTGTCTGTCTTAATACCGGGGTCGTGACCAACACCCTGCCTCTGTGGGCACTGTGAAATGAACGTCTCATTAGTCTGCTGTCGCTGTTGAGCACAATTATCGGCTCCTGTAATTCCACATATTTAACAAGCGAGAGGCCAGAGCTGAGGGAAATCCCGAGCCCTGCCTCGCTGTCTGCTATATTACCTCTGTCACCGTAATCACTGAGGGGAAAGTCTCTGCTGGAGGGAAACTCGCTGATCCCTGATTAGGAAATCGGGCTGTGCTTCTGTATTTTAGCAGTCTCGCTCTGTCGCGCGTCTTTGTCAGAACGGCCGGCTCTCCGTGCTGTGGGGCTGCTCGGCAGTGAAGGGGTTACTCCGCAGGCTGTATGTTTACGCTGCCAGTTTCCTGCAGCTTTGGTACGGAGCCTGTTTCCGTGGCGACGGCCCTGTTTCGAGCCGGTGGTGGAGTCTGTAGTGATTCATTGACATTATAGCCGTACCTGCTGGAGAGCTGCAGGGAAAGAGTCGTCGTGGCAAAAACAGCCTCTCTGCAAAATACACACACAGCAGTACGGAACCGCTGCCCGGGCTGGGAGCTGACCCTGTTTGAGGTGGAGAAAAGCCCAATACAGTGTCTGAAGTGCTCCTGACTGGAGTGAGAGTATCACCGGAGCCACAGGCCTTCAATAGGACAGTCTGGGTGACCACGGCGCAGCGGCGGGCGTGTCTGCGCCACACTCGCTGGTGTCAGGCAGGTAGCCGAGCGCCTGAGGTGTCCCGTGTGAAGGCACAGTGCAGAGGAGTGGACAGGGAGTGCAGTGCATGAAGGATATAGGAGAGGAGAAGAGGCTTAAACTGGGTAACTCTGGTACAGTAAGGCCATGATTATTGTGGTCAGCTGTTCTTCTTTCTTACTGGGTGAAAAGGACCTGCATGGTTTCAGTGAGCATGCCAATGCTATTATCGGTTCACTGTGCCAAACTGAAACTGGGTCAAGCCTGTCCCCCATCAGTCCAGAGCAGCCAGCCCTGCTGCCACAGTGCCCGATGTGCCTTCCAAGAAACTGGCTTGGTTTGGGCACAATAAGCTCTTCTTAATAAGCTTTGTTCTACCATGAAGTGGTGATTTCTAATGCTACGCGTCCATAACCCCTGGATTACTGAGTCACTCTGACCTCTTAAAGCTCATGATGTACCAGGAGATGAGGGAAACGGCTATCCGCTTCTGAGCTAGTGGTGCACAAGCCCATGCAGGTGTTTCTGTAGGGGTCACCATGAAATCGTGGTCCACAACGTGATTTTGGATTTTCGTTACTGTAGGTAAACAGTTGTTTCCTGTCTTCTGGTCTAGAACTTTGTGTTTAGCAAGGAGCATAACGCTGCTGGCATTCCTGTTAACGGGCCTGTTGGTTCCCTTCTTCCCCTGCTGCTCTCTTTCAGATGTCCACCGCCCAGGTATTAAAGCACACTCCAGCCACAGCAGCCGCAACTGCCACTGACCAAAACGCACAAGTTACATTTCCCAGCAGCCCACACGGGTCACCGGACCAGCCCAGGGCCCCCGGGGGGCTGACCAATCACTGCATGGCCCACACCAAACAGCCTTGCCTGGGGGAGCAGGGGGTCAGCTCAGGCGGCCTCAGCCCCGCCCCCACGCCCCCCCTGAACGGCGAGGAGGACGATGATGGGGGTGGCGGCTCGAGGGTGAAGAAGAAACGGAAGAAAAAAGAGAAGAGGGAGACAGGCGCTTGGGCGAAGGCCGAGAAAGACGCCAAACCAAAGAAGAAGAAGGAGCAGAAGGAGGGCAGGGAGCCGCGCAGGACGAAAGTGCCCAAGGAGCCCAAGAAGGTCAAGGAGCTGAAACCACCAAAGGAGCCCAAGAAGCCGCGGGCTCCCCGGGAGCCCCGGGAGCCCAGGGAGCCCAAGCCCCCACGCGAGAAGAAGAGTGCCCCGTCCCCGCAGAAGCACCGTGGACGCAAGGCCGGGTGAGTCGCCGCTGCCCCCAGCTGCCCTCTGGGTGTAAAAGCCGTTATTCTGACTGGTTATTGTGTACGTGCAGAGTCCCGTAGGCCAGGTTGTCTGTTTTTGCTGTTTGTCCCCTGGTGGCCTGGTTGGTCCAGCAGCTCAGCTCACAGCTGTCCAGACCCAGGAAGGCGCCGTGCCTGTCCAGACCCAGGAAGGCGCCGCAGGGCTGCATGCTGTGCCTGTCCAGACCCAGGGTGACTCCAGGAAGCGGGCTGGGCCAGCAGTGCCTGTGGACACTCAGCTCTTCCCTTTGCTTTCCTGCTCAGCAGAGAACAGGGCCCCTCGCCACCGGAGAAAAAGAAGAAGGGGAAGAGGAAAAGCGAAGTCCTGCAGGAGGCACTGGAGAGCGATGAGACCGTGTCGCTGTCGGCCCCTGGCAACGAGGAGACCAGTGACTCTCTGGATGGCACGGTGAGCCTCAGTATCATTTGGCCAACCACTTCTCCAAGTCAGCTTGCACAGAGTCTGAAATCCCAAAGTTCAAAGGAAAAGCAAACTGTAAAAAGCACTGGTAGAAGAATTTCCTTGGTGACCTGTCTCTCCGGTGTCTGTGACCCTGTGTCTCTGGTGTGCCTGTGTCTCTGGTGTGCGTGTCTGTGACCCTGTGTCTTGTCCTGTGTGTGTGTGTGTCTGTGACCCTGTGTCTTGTCCTGTGTGTGTGTGTGTCTGTGACCCTGTGTCTTGTCGTGTGTGTGTGTGACTGGGTGTCTTCTCCTGTGTCTCCGGTGTGTGTGTGTGTGACCCTGTGTCTTGTCCTGTGTGTGTGAGTGACCGGGTGTCTTGGGTGTCCTTTGTCTCAGAAGCGGCGCTCGGGGCGGCAGGTGAAACGCAGGAAGTACAATGAGGATCTGGACTTCAAGGTGGTGGACGACGATGGGGAGACCATCGCGGTGCTGGGGACCGGCCGCATCCCTGCGCTGTCCTCCTCCACGCTGGCCTGGCAGGCCGAGGTACGTCTCCGCGGCCCCAGTCGGCCTGTCTCACATTTTCACACTCTCGGCCACATGCGCCGACAGTCTGATCCATTCCCCTGACGCTCGAATCGCTGTGTTTCAGGAGCCCCCAGAAGACGAGGCCAACATCATCGAGAAGATTCTGGCTGTGCGCGCAGTCAAGAGAGAGGTACTGCACTTCCTCTGCCTGTCCCAGTGATTTCTGGACCTGCTGCCTGTCCGTCTGCTTGTCCTGACTCTGCTCTCTGTGTTTCAGATCTCTGCAGGAGAGCCGTCTCATGAGATGGAGGAGTTCTACGTCAAGTACCGGAACTTGTGAGTGTGATCGTCGGAGACTGGAATTCGGATTTCTTTCCTTGCCGCAGAGTCTAGGATTCTTCCTTTATTTTTATGGCAAAAGAAAAGAGTTACACTGGTCCAGTTACGCCTGACTTGACCGGTTAATTTCTTCAGCACTTGTCTTACAATCCTCTTTATGTATTAAGTGGAGTCTTAGCAAACTCGCGGGGCAGGGGGACCTGTCTTCTGGGTGATCCGGGCTCTTGAGTTCTCTCATTTCCTCTTGGGCAGGTATGACTCTGCTGTTAACGCAGGGAGGGATCAGATCTCAGCCAGAGCTGGCAGGGCAGGATGCCTATGGCCTTCATGGCCAGGGATAATCTTTATTGTGTTGGAGTGCCAGGCTGGAGCCCAGTGCAAGCACCTGTGTGAACAGATAAACAGAATGAAACTGCGTTGGCTGCGCGAGAACGATCAGCCTTGAAACGGAGATAACGTGTAGCAGAGGCAGCGAGACGCTCCCAGCCTTGGAGCTCGGCCTTGCACCTCGAGCGCCGATGCCAGACCTCACAGCTCTCTGCAGCTGCAGAGGAAGAGCAGCCCTGTGACCCGTGTCGTCATGACTGACTGCAGCCCTCTCTCTCTCCCCTGTCTGCAGCTCCTACTTGCACTGTAAGTGGGCCATGCTGGAGGAGCTGGAGAAGGATCCCAGGATCCATCAGAAGATCAAGCGCTTCAGGAACAGGCAGGCCCAGATGAAGCACATCTTCACCGAGGTGCGTTTCTCGTGACATCACAATTGCGTCACCCCTGACAGGAAGCAAACCGCTGTCCCGCTCCTCTCCACCCACAGAAAATAGTCGCAAAGACTGTTGCACTATGTATGTTTTTAAAGTCTAACTTTCAGTTAAATGACATCAGCATGTCACATGAATGGTTAAAAACTTCTGAATCGCTTTACTTATGTCTTTAACCTTGATTTCCACAGTGTGCAGATTGCCAATCTAATTAATTAACTGTAGAGTCTGGGGTTTGCTTGCAGTTTGCCTACAGAGAGAATGCACATTTTTATCTCTTAGCTGTGTGTGGGTGTTTGCTTTTTCCCTTGGTTTGTGTAGAGGGCTAAGTGCTGTTTTCCAGTTGTTGATAAAGCACGTCTCCTTAACGCCCCCTCTCGCTGTTGTAGCCGGACGAGGACCTGTTCAACCCTGACTACATCGAGGTGGACAGAGTCCTGGAGGTCGCGCACACCAAGGACACCGAGACTGGGGAGGTGAGGCAGCTCACGACTGCAGGGCTCATGACAGAAATCAGAATCACAGGTACACCTTGAGCAGTCAGCTGCGAAAGCTGCTGTTCTGGAGAGCAATCCTGTGGCACCATTTCCTGCTCGTGCAGTGGAACTGCTTCTTTATCTTTGTATTCAAAAGTGTGTTTTTTATAACAGTATCAAATTGGAGTTTTTAAATTCTCTGGATATTATGGCAATGTGGTAAAAAACATCGGAGTTAAGCTCGGGTTCCCATTGCAGTTCGTTTCGAAGAAGAGTTTTGCTTATTAAAACCATCCAGGATTATAGTGCAGCGCATCAACCTCAAGTCATCCGGGGCATGGTGCTTCTGCCCTGCTGAAGCTGTCGAGGACAGAAGTGCTGTGTCAGGTGGGCGGGTAGTTTCCCTGCTCACCAGTTCTGTGCTTTAAATTCGCCTTAAATCAGCGCGTCTGTCTGACCTTCACCCTCTAGCTCTCGTTATCCCCCTGGTTAGAGTCCTTGGGAAGTTAATCAGCCTGCTCCCGAGGAAACGAAGGCTGGACCGTTTCCAGAGTTCCTCAGGGAAGCTCTGGAGCAGGCGTGTGTAGGAGCTCCTGGAATCCCCTCGGACTTCTCTGCAGCTCCTCTCTCCTGAGGCTGCGGGCCGGGTGACCCAGGGGAAAGGCAGGCTGTCGCTCTGTGGGGAGACGGGACCCCACAGTGAGGCCGCAGAGCCACAGAGGGCTGGAGCCTGTCTGGGGTGGCTGCCCCTCGGGGCTTTACTCACTGGAGGTGTTGGGTTTCCGCAGGAAGTCACACACTACCTGGTGAAGTGGTGCTCCCTGTCCTACGAGGAGAGCACCTGGGAGCTGCGAGAGGACGTGGATCCCGGGAAGATCAGGGAGTTCGAGGAAATCCGGAGGATCCCCGATCTGAAAGCAGTGGTGAGAGCAGGGGGCTGTGTGAACACACCTTGGCCTCGTGTACCTGTCCTTGCTGTGGCGCAGAGCCTTCGGCCCCGTTCGGAATCAGGCCAAGGAGGCTGTTGGCGTTTTATTTTCCAGGTCCTTGTGTGCCGTTTCTTTTGTGCCCTACTTTGTAAGAGCAAGAGACCTCCCCGGCGCACTGGTGTCGATGTGGGTCACCGAGTCTCAGGAGGCCTGGTGGGTCTTCTTGTCACGCTGTGAGGCTTGGCAGTGAGCTCGGGGGGTCAGAGCTGGAGCCGGCCTTCACTGCTAAAGCATGCTGTCCCGTGTACGACTGCAGGAACGCCCGCCCCCGGAGCAGTGGCAGAAGCTGGAGAAGTCCCGGGATTACAGGAATGGGAACGAGCTGCGGGAATACCAGCTGGAGGGCATGAACTGGCTGCTTTTCAACTGGTACAACAGGTACTTGTGAGGCTGAGGCTGGGCACGCTGATCCGCTCACCTGTCCCTGCGCTGATGGGGCACTGGGCCAGTGGCCTTCTGCCTTGGGCTGATATTTTTCAATCTTGCCCAACTCTTATTTACCCGATTGATCCAGTTGATTGTCAGGTCTTTGTCATTGCCCACGGAGTCTGTGTGTCCAGCCGGAGCTGGGGTCTGAGATGAGGGCCTGGACAGTTTCTCTGGGTTTGACAGGCCTGCTCTAGGCCTGGAGGAAGCATTACACTGCTTCAGTATAAGATAGAAGTAGTTTAACCTTCTGACCTCAGGCGGAGTAAAACGCACAGCTGAGAGTCAGATTTGAAGATCACAAGGTGAGATGGTCAGACTGTCTTTAACCCTGTGACCTTTCCAAGCGTGTCTGTTTGGCTGCGATCGCACAAAAGGTGAAAGTGCTCATCTCCTTTGCCCCTCCAGGAAGAACTGCATCCTGGCGGACGAGATGGGGCTGGGCAAGACGATCCAGTCGATCACCTTCCTGTACGAGATCTTCGTCATGGGGATCCGCGGCCCCTTCCTCATCATCGCGCCGCTCTCCACCATCACCAACTGGGAGCGGGAGTTCCGCACCTGGACGGAGATGAACGTCATCGTCTACCACGGCAGCCAGATCAGCCGGCAGATGATTCAGCAGTACGAGATGTACTACAAGGACGAGCAGGTGTGTGGTCCGACGAGCGTGTGGACGCCTTGATTTCCGCACACAGCCTTCCTGACCGCTTCCCTTCGCCATCCCATCATGCCAGGGCTGTGGTGGAGCTGTACCTTTAATGGCAGCAGAGGGGTTCTCAGCTTCAGGCTGGAGCACAAGAGGCAGTTGTTCCTGGAGACTGAGCAGACTCGGTCTGGCTGCGAAGGGGGAATGACCAGAGCGGCCTGGGAGTTCAGCAGTGCCGGGTGCTCGTCCGATGGCTGTGCCTCTTGCTCTCGGCAGGGCGCCCCCCTCGCTGGAATGTTCAAGTTCCATGGGGTGATCACCACCTTCGAGATGATCCTGGCGGACTGCCCGGAGCTGAAGAAGGTCCAGTGGCGCTGCGTGGTGATCGACGAGGCGCACCGCCTCAAGAACAGGAACTGCAAGCTGCTGGAGGGGCTGAAGCTCATGAGCCTGGTGAGAGAGCGAGGATCTGTGTGTGTGGCCTGCCCCTGCCCCCCGCACCTGCCCCAGCCCCTGCGTCCTGCCCCAGCCCCTGCGTCCTGCGGTATGTGCTGAAATGCACTGACCCTGGCCTAAGCTACATTGTGAAAGACGATTTCCAATCCACAGAAGTACGTGCAACAAGTTCAAACTATTGCAGTCTTCCTTTATTTACCCTTCTTGTAGTGTTTGTTCCCCTTTGCTCTTCTTGCCTCTTGTGTGTTTTTTATTTTAACCTTTATTTAATGAAGATGGAAATGACACGGACAAAGCGCATCCCTCCACAGAGCGCCAGGTTGACACCAGTGATGACCACAGATTCCCAGAGCTCCGTGTGGGAGGATCACCACCAGCAGGCGGACACGCCAGTGATGCCATCTGACCGGCTGTTTTCCTCCTGTACAGGAGCACAAGGTGCTGCTGACCGGCACGCCGCTGCAGAACTCTGTGGAGGAGCTCTTCAGTCTGCTCAACTTCCTGGAGCCCCAGCAGTTCCCCTCCGAGAGCAGCTTCCTGGAGGAGTTCGGGGACCTCAAGACCGAGGAGCAGGTGCTGGAGAGAGAACAGTGCCCCCAGTGGGACTGCCAAGGGCGGGTTTGGCGCGGAGTTTCCAAAGCTTTGCGTGTCGTGTTCCTTGTCTGGGAGTAGAGTGAGACGGCGCCACCTCAGACAGCCAAATCAAGCTCCTCCTCTCAGGCTTGTCCTTCCTCCTCCTGATCTTTTTTACTGTCAGAGCTCGGCCATGTTCATCCGAATTACATACCTGCTGATTGGTGGGCAGATCCACATGCCGGTCAATTTCCTGAATTTCTAGTTAGAAGTTAAAGCATAGAAAGAAACTGAAAGTCACCCACCCAGTAAGACATGTCCGCGTCTCTGTCCTTTTCCGACCGCGTGCAGTTGTCCGTGCTGCAGTTTGTTTGCGGATGGGGCAGTAACGTGTCGGTCCCCTGCCCCTCAGGTCAAGAAGCTGCAGGCCATCCTGAAGCCCATGATGCTGCGGAGGCTGAAGGACGATGTGGAGAAGAACCTGGCGCCCAAGGAGGAGACCATCATCGAGGTGGAGCTCACCAACATCCAGAAGAAATACTACAGGGCCATCCTGGAGAAGAACTTCACCTTCCTGGCCAAGGGGGCCAACCAGCACAACATGCCCAACCTCATCAACACCATGATGGAGCTGCGCAAGTGCTGCAACCACCCCTACCTCATCACAGGTGCTCCAGTGTTTCCCATAACCCTCCGCCTTATAACAGGTGCTCCAGTGTATCCCATAACCCCCCACCTCATCACAGGTGCTCTAGTGTATCTCATAACCCCCCGCCTCGTCACGGGTGCTCTAGTGTATCCCATAACCCCCTGCCTTGTCACAGGTGCTCCAGTGTATCCCATAACCCCCCACCTCATCACAGATCCTGCATACAGCCACCCTCCTGAATGGGAGTTGGCAGGAAACAGACGACAGGCGGGCTGTCACTCCCTAGTGACCATGTCTTTGCTGTCACATGCAGGGGCAGAGGAGAAGATCCTGGAGAGCTTCAGGAAGACGCACAGCCCAGACGCTGCTGATTTCCAGCTGCAGGCCATGATCCAGGCGGCTGGGAAGCTGGTACTGATCGACAAGCTGCTGCCCAAGTTGATCGCCGGCGGACACAAGGTGCTCGTGTTCTCCCAGATGGTGCGCTGCCTGGACATCCTGGAGGACTACCTCATCCAGAGACGGTGAGGGGACAGCGCCTGGCCACACTGAAACCCCCCATAAATTATTATCTATTATGGTTTTTTTTATTTGCTTCTTAGGATCTTAATGCTCTCATCATGCTGTTTCTCGAAAGGGAGGAGAATTTATAAAATTGAAACGCCAGTTTGGTTTTGATTTTATTATACATCCACCCAATCTGGGAACTTTTTTGTAGAACAAGAACAAAGAGCCGAGATTCGGGCTCGGACCCGTGTTTGAGCTCCAGGCGCTGTTGCTGTCTCTGCAGGTACACGTACGAGCGCATCGATGGGCGAGTGAGGGGGAACCTGCGGCAGGCGGCCATCGACCGCTTCTGCAAGGCCGACTCGGACCGCTTCGTCTTCCTGCTGTGCACACGGGCGGGCGGCCTGGGCATCAACCTGACCGCCGCCGACACCTGCATCATCTTCGACTCCGACTGGAACCCCCAGAACGACCTGCAGGTGAGCGGCGCCCTCGTTCGCCGTGTAGGCACGCGGCCTGAGCAGCTGCAGCCAGGGGGAGGAGCTTTCTGGGAGACGGGTAGGAGCAGCAGGGGACAGTGTCGCTTGTTGGTCTGTGAGGGACAAGTGAAAGGACAGACTGTTTCTGTCTCAGCATGTCTGCTCCATCTGGTTCTGCGTCTCCTAGGCCCAGGCCCGCTGTCACCGGATTGGCCAGAGCAAGGCGGTGAAGGTGTACCGGCTGATCACGAGGAACTCGTATGAGAGGGAGATGTTCGACAAGGCCAGCCTGAAGCTGGGGCTGGACAAGGCCGTCCTGCAGGACATCAACCGCAAGGGCAGCCTCAACGGGGTGAGCGAGCAGGGCTCAAGGCTCTGGACTCGTGGGTTCAAATGCTGGGTGGGTCTCTGCTGTCATGCCCTTGACCAAGGTACTGCACTCGGCAAATGCCCTGGTTAGCAAGAGTCCAGGTAATGATCGGAAAGTAGAATGTGTTCTCAGTTCACAAATGACCTGTCTGGTCACATGAAGGGTTTTCTATAGACACCCTGTACAGAGTGAGGCTGTCAAACTCAGGATGTTGCATTATCTTATGGCATTTGTTATATCCAAACTGGAACTTAATTAATAGTTCCAGTTATTTGACCAACTAGAAAGGACCTCTTCAGGCCTGAATATTTTAGAACTGATTTGAATCAAGTATTATCTTTGAAATGAAACTTCACGTATCATTAAACACATTCACCTGGGCTAAGATTTAGTTTCTTTTAACTAGCTTATGTTGGGGAAAGTGGGGCTGAGCCTTAGAACCCAAGCCCGACGGCCCGGACGTAGGGTTTCCTAGAGCCTACAGCTCCCCCTGCTGGTCCCCGTGTGATCTCCTCTGCCCAGGGCTGCAGCTCTGTGACGACCTGTGTGTGATGCCGCAGGTGCAGCAGCTGTCCAAGATGGAGGTGGAGGACCTCCTGAGGAAGGGTGCCTATGGGGCGCTGATGGATGAGGAGGATGAGGGATCCAAGTTCTGCGAGGAAGATATTGACCAGATCCTGCAGCGCCGCACGCAGACCATCACCATCCAGTCCGAGGGCAAGGGCTCCACCTTCGCCAAGGTAGACCCACCGCGCTCGGCCAGTCTGCCGGACACTCTCCTCACCGGCCCAGCTTTTGAGTGCATGAGCAGCACTTCACACGCAGCTGTGTTAAAAACTTCCCAAAAGATTTTAATGACGCAAAACCTCTAAAAAGAAGTGTGGTGGTGTGCTGGTGTGCTGGTCAGCCTGCGGTTGATGCCTGCGAGAGTCGCTGTGTCCTGCTGCTCTGCAGTGGCTTGGCAGAGCAGTCGGCCTGCAGGCGGAGAGGAGAGGTTGTTCAGAAACTGTCTTGTATTGCAGGCCAGTTTTGTCTCCTCTGGAAACAGGACGGACATCTCTCTGGATGACCCCAACTTCTGGCAGAAGTGGGCAAAGATTGCTGAGCTGGAGATAGATTCGAAAGCCGAAAAGGTAAGGGCTCTGCCGGCATACGGCGGCTTTTCAGCATTACTGTCTGTCTCCACTGCTCCAGTGGACTGGTCGCCCTTGTACTGTTGCTCCTGTGCAGAATTTTCACTAAAGACCTGCAATATTTGTGTGATCTTCTTTTTGTTTTTTCTTCTTAATGTATATTTTTGGTGTTGTAGGTTTTCTAATCCTGTTCTGGGAAACAGGTACAGTGGTTTACATTTTTTAACACTCCAGTATGCATAAAGTCGCTCAGCCTTCCCAGGCTGCGGTGTGGTGGTCTGGAGTTCTTCTCCCGAGTGCTGCAGCGAGACCCCGGCTGGGGGAGCAGAGCCAGCTGAGAGGGGCGCCAAGCTGTGGGCCCACACAGGCTGCAGGTGCACCTCACACGGCCGCGGTGATGGGCGCAGACAGAGGTCAGCACCTATCCGGAGGTGACGACGGCGCTAGGTGTTTGAACCCGCGGCCCTGAGCCCCCTGGGAAGAGTTGCAGCATTAGTCTTTGGTGGAGATGGTCTCCAGTTGACATATGGGCGCTGTGCGGCGTCTGGGTGGTGGTGGTGGTGGTGTGGGGGGGGGGACACTGTGTCCTGGCTGTGACCTGGGGACCCTGTGTGCCCCCCGGCAGGAGAGCCTGGTGATCGACACGCCGAGGGTCAGGAAGCAGACGCGCCACTACAACTCCTTCGAGGACGACGAGCTGATGGAGTTCTCGGAGCTGGACAGCGACTCGGAGGAGCGGCCGTGCCGGACGCGCCGCCTCAATGAGCGGAACCGCCGCTACCTCCGCGCCGAGTGCTTCCGGGTCGAGAAGAACCTGCTCATTTTTGGGTGAGTGTGCGTTTCCGTCAGCACATGGGGTGGAGGGGAGAGACAGAATGTGTAAAAAGCTACAAACGCCTGACGAGGGATGATAATGTTCCTGCAGTTTAATAAACTTATTTTTCCCTAAACCAAAAGGCATCTTTTCTTAAATCCAAAATGTTGCACCCAGTCACAAGTGGCTGATGCCACATCTGGGCTTTTGTCAAACTGTCTGTGCTATTCCGTATCCTGCAGTGCTCGCACTGAGCCCGAGTGTGTCTGTCTGTGCTGTACAGCTGGGGTCGGTGGAAGGATATCCTGAACCACGGGCGCTTCAAGTGGCAGCTGACGGAGAGGGACATGGAGGTGCTGTGCCGAGCGCTGCTGGTGTACTGTGTGCGGCACTACAAGGGCGACGACAAGATCAAGAGCTTCATCTGGGATCTCATCACGCCCACCAAGGATGGCAACAACCAGGCTCTGCAGAACCACTCTGGTGAGTTACGCTGAGCTCTTACTGCCCCTGCACTGTCCAGCCTAGTCTGGTTTCACTGGTTTCTTTTCGTTTGTATAGGGTTAAACTATTTCTAAACTCACAAAATCGTAAAGCAACTCGGTAAAACAGCCCTTTGGAATTCTTAACTCGTCGTCCCTCCTGTGACAGTCTCCTGAACCCACAGCTGAAGGGTGTGTGATGTGTCCCTTGTCGGTCTCTCAGGCCTGTCCGCTCCAGTGCCACGTGGGAGGAAAGGGAAGAAGATGAAGAACCAGATATGCCAGCCAGAGATGAAGAATGCAGACTGGCTGGCAAGCTGTAACCCAGAGGTGGTCCTGCATGATGACAGCTACAAGAAGCACCTGAAACAGCACTGCAACAAGTGAGTTTTGCACTGCTCTCAGCCCACCCAGGCATCCTGCACTGCTCTCAGACCCTCCAGCCCACCCTACACTGCTCTCAGCCCACCCAGGCGTCCTACACTGCTCTTGGACCCTCCAGGCGTCCTACACTGCTCTTAGACCCCCCAGGCGTCCTACACTGCTCTTGGACCCCCCAGGCGTCCTACACTGCTCTTGGACCCTCCAGGCGTCCTACACTGCTCTTAGACCCTCCAGGCTTCCTACACTGCTCTTAGACCCCCCAGGCGTCCTACACTGCTCTTGGACCCCCCAGGCTTCCTACACTGCTCTCAGCCCGCCGAGCCCACCCTACACTGCTCTCAGCCCACCCAGACGTCCTACACTGCTCTCAGCCCACCCAGGGGTGCTACACTGCTCTTAGACCCTCCAGGCTTCCTGCACTGCTCTTAGTCCACGCAGACACTCTCTGCTGTCTAACTTCTGTGCTTTCTTAGTTGTTTTTAAACAGCCATTTTTAAGAATTGAACGAATAATTGATCAAACATTACTTTTTTGTGTATGAAACTTAACTTAACTGTCCAAATGGACAGGATCGGCAAAGATTCGGAAATGTGAGAGTCAAATAAAGGTGTATTTGATGTAGTTGGCCAGTGCTGGGCATCCTACACTGCATACCAGACGGTGACCTTTCTTGGTGTCCTCTGTGCTTTCCAGGGTCCTGCTCAGGGTGCGGATGCTGTATTACTTGAAGGCAGAGGTGCTAGGGGAGGCCGCAGACCAGGCTTTAGAGGGCGTACCGTCCAGGTAAGTTCACTGGGTTTTCTGTTCATGTTTTATATAGTGCTTTTCTCAATAGAGAGGATCTCAAAGTGCTTTAAAAAGCAATGTTTCAATGAGACACGGCAAGCATATGCTGCAAGCATATGATAAAAATTCTGGGAAGCGTTAGCATGTGTTGAGGTTAGTTCTGCATCAATGCGCGTTGTCTGTGGTGGATGTGCAGGTGAAAGGCTCATTGCAGCTGTGTTGCGTTTTCTTCAGTAAACTGGAAGTGGTGCTACCAGATATTGACTACCTGGAAATCCCTGCAGACTGGTGGGACGCAGAGGCCGATAAGTCTCTGCTCATCGGGGTTCACAAGCACGGTATGCTGTGCTCTCTTCTTATAACCAGTGTTTTTTAAGCCTTGGAGAAGTCCGAGTCAGTCCTGTGCTATGTAGGAATTTGTGTATGTGGCTGACTCTGCCTGTCTTCTGTGTGGTGTCGTGTCTGCCCCCTGCAGGCTACGAGCGGTATAACGCCATGCGAGTGGACCCCAGGCTGTGCTTCCTGGAGCGAGTGGGGATGCCCGACGAGATGGCCCTGTCAGTGGAGCAGGGGGGTGGAGAGGGGACAGCTGACATCACCGACAGGCAAGGGGCTCCTTGGGATGACAGACTAACATTGGAACTAATGAAAAACCAAACAACCCAGATTTGATACATAACACATGTAATCAGACTCACTACAAAATGAGAACAGATTCAGCCATCTGCATTGCTGGAGCAATTAGCCATAAAAAATAACCATTAACAATTAAAATATCTCCATTAACAACTGGCAATGAAATGCCTCAATGCATCTCGCAACATCGGGGACCCCCCAGGAAGTGATCCCTGGACACTGCCACCATGTACTGTGTACCTTGAGAGTGGCTGATGTGGCTGAAGACATTGTGTTCTAGAAACATACTTCAGGGGCAGCTGCCGGGCTGAGCAGTCCTGACATTCTTGGTCCCGAAAGCTCATAAACCAGAGCAAACGTGGGCTGGTTAGTGTGTGACAGGCCGCAACATGCAGAGCTCTGCTTCCCGACACGAGCGTGTCCCGGCCAGTGCGCCCTCGTGATTCCAGTCTCTGCGTGTCGTCTCCAGGGCTGAGGTCGGCAAGGAGGAGGACCAGAGACAGGCGGAGGCAGGCTGCGCGCTGGAGCAGGCCGAGGTAAGCGGCACGCCCCTCCTCTGGGCCTTTCTCTTCCTCCTGCAGCGCCTTGTCATTGAGTGTCATCGTCTCTCTTTTTCCCCTGAAGGAAGAGGCAGCCGTCGGTAACGATGTCTCGGAGAAAGCTGAGACTGCTGCTCCCGGTGAGTGTCCTGGTCTCGCCTGGCTGCAGTGTTATTAATACGGACACTCGGGCACCACGCGGACGCTGATTAATTCGCACTCGCTCCCCTGCCCAGCTTGTGAAGAGCCTCTGTTCTTCCTCCTCCTCCTCCTCTCCTGTCCACAGCCCAGGACAGCGCGGAGCAGGAAAGAGCCGTCTGGCCAGTGGGGTCGGCCTTCACAGCCCGGCTCAGGCGGCTGATCACGGCGTACCAGCGCTTCACCCGCAGGGAGCCCCTGCGCCCCGACTTCCTGCTGCCAGGCGAGGGCGCCGGCGGCGTGTGGCCAGTGGGGGAGGAGCTGCGCCGGAGGGCAATCGAACCCGACCCGCTGTTCCTGGAGATGCAGAAGAGGTGCAGGCCTGACGTCGTTCGCCACACCCCTTCCTGGAGCATCTGTTTGTGTTTCTTTGTTTTCATGTAGTTTGAAGTCAAATGTTATTCGGCAACAAAGTATTTTGAGCTCTGACCACTTAGCTTTACGGTCAGGAAGGCAGGAACTCAAAAAGAACAGGTTTCCTGGGCTTTCAGTTTTTTCTGTAGAGGGGTTGACCGCCGCTGTGGTGTCTCTCCTCTCCGTCCGTGCAGGTGGACCCGGCGCGAGCAGGCCGACTTTTACCGCACGGTGTCGTCGTTCGGCGTGGTGTACAGCCCGGAGAAGAAGAGTTTCGACTGGACGCAGTTCCGCTCCTTCGCGCGGCTGGAGAGGAAGACGGACGAGAGCCTGGAGCTCTACTTCTGCAGCTTCGTGGCCATGTGCCGCGCGGCCTGCCGCCTGCCGCCCAGGAAGGAGGAAGGTAGGCGGGACGTCCGGAGAGCGGAACCGGCCTGGCCCCTGCTCGTACACAGACGCGTCACGCTCGACTCTGCTCCAAGAACAGAATCGGGAGCTCGCTCTTCCAGGATGGCGTTGATAAAGATGGCACAAGAATATGTGATTAGCAGCGCTTTAAATACATTGTGTGGACTGAGGTGAATTAAGGCAGGATCATCGGGCATTTCTGACTTGAGGGTTGTATCATTTGTTTGGCACCAGGGAACTGAACGCATGCTGGACCGCGGCTGTCACCGTGCCGGACTGTGAGACGTCGGTAATTTCCAGGGTTGTTCCCGTGTCTTTCCAGGGCCGCTGGACCCGACCCTGTTCGTGGAGCCGATCACGGAGGAGCGCGCTGCGCGAACGCTCTACCGGATCGAGCTGCTGCGCAAGGTCCGGGAGCAGGTGCTCCGGCACCCCCTGCTGGCCGAGCGCCTGCAGCTGTGCCGGCCCAGCCTGTACCTGCCGGTGTGGTGGGAGTGCGGCAAGCACGACCGCGACCTGCTCATCGGCGCCGCCAAGCACGGCCTCAACCGCACCGACTACTACATCCTCAACGACCCCCAGCTGTCCTTCCTGGAGGCCCACCGCAACTACGTGCAGAAGGAGACCCAGGGCCAGGCGGGCGCCAGGGCCGCCGCCCACCACTGCTGCCTGTTCGAGGCGGGCCTGGGCCACTGCCCCTCGCCGCCGGTGGACTTCGCC